AAGGTTTTCTTTTTTCTTCCAGGACCTGGGTGTGACCAAAGTGGGTCACATGAAGAGGATATTGCACGGGATCAAGGAGCTGAGCCGGAGTACTCCTGCCAGCGAGGCTTAGCCTCTGTTTTCACAGCCTGTGTCTACCATTCTCCCTAACTGCACAGCAGTCACCTCACAAAGCAGATGTGCTCACAACTATCTCTGCTGAACAGCCAAATTTTAGCTGTTCAGAGCTCATATCAACCAAGCATGGTGCTACTTTTTCCTGTGGGGTATGGCTATATCCACTGGAGAGGCGCTTCCTCTGCCGTTGGCAGAACCTCCTGGAGAGAACTCAATCGCTGTTTGAAGAGCCATGTCCTGTATCGTGGGAAGTTCTGGTACCAGGGACAGTGCAGGATTCCTGAGAACTGCTACACAGATACCTTTACTGGATAACTTCATCACAGTAGAATCATTCAGGGCAAAAGATGTATTGGCCAGTCTTAGTTCAGAAGCATCTGACAGTCTTTTCAGACACAAAATGTTCCTTCTCATCTGTGTGTCACACCTGTATTTAGCATATTTAAGTGGGATAAAACTTCTCCTGCTTCTTACTAATCCCTTTTGAATGTATCTGTAGTTGTGTGCAATTTGCATTTGAAATTCGAAGCCAGTGCAGACCTCTTCCAACCAATATCCAGTGATTCTCATTCACTCACACTTTTGCAACAGACAGGGTTTGCACCAGCTGGTGGGGCCTTCTGCTGGGCCTGCTCTCCTCTTCCAGCCAGGGGCAATGGTACAACCTTTAGGTTTTCACAAAAAATGTGGTGCTGAGTCATGGACAATTGTTCAGAAATTCCTGGCAGTAAGAAAAGAAAATTCTGGAGAGCCAAATGATTACAGGAGATCAGCTCTGACATTCCTTCTTCTGAATTCATCTTTGGGAGAACAGATAAAAGGGAGAGGAAAGCTAATGAGCTGTTTGGACTGCACAAGAAAAGAGATACAGGACAACTTGCTTCATCCTGGGGGTGGGGGTGCAGCATGAGTGGCAGTGGCCAGGTGTAGTTTAGTGCCACTTTTGTGGCTACAAACATGAGAGCTGTTTCTTTACTTCAGCTTGCAGTGTAGAAAACTATTTCTGTCACAAAATACGTGATTTAAGTCTAGTACTTGTATCTTTTCACCTGTCTTGGTTTCAGTAGCTTTTCCATCTTGTTTCTCTTTCTTCCTGCCTTGCTTCTTCACTCCAGGGTGATACAAAAGATGAGAGTAGCTCACTTCTCCTGGGCTGTACCCCGAAGAGATTCCTTATGCTGTCAAACATTGGGGCTGTAAGAGCACTGAGACAAAGAGAATTGTTACCGAGCAAATGAGCATCATAATGAAAACTGGAATATGTTGATAAATTGCCTTTGGAACCAGCAACGGTGGAGCATGGAAAAATTAGTGCCTCTGAATTAGAGTTTCTAGATGGCTGACTCCAGTTAGGTAGCTGTTAAAGCCTAAGACCAGCATGCATAGTTATATCACCATCTTTATTTCTGCAAAGGGAATTTGGCAACAGTCAGTGCTGTAAAACTTGAGAGACAACAGAAATTTTTAATTACTCATAATTTTCTGTGTATTTTTTTTTTTAATTATTACAGAGTGGCACCTGTCTGACAATGGCAGCAGACAGAAAAGCTCACATACACAGTGGCATAAAAGATAATTTGCTGAGGACATAATTCTTCTTTTTTTTACTTGTAAGGATTTTTATCAAATTGATATCACTTCTCTAGTCTAAAAAAATCAGTCAAGTTAGTTTATGTAAAGATTTGTCAGCTTATAAAGGCTCAGGGCTGATTTCGTTTCAGCTGGACAAAGTCCATTGAATTCCCTAGTATTTCACCAAGGGTTATTCTGACTCTACCTGTCTGTTCTAACAGACACATTCACCCATGTGTCTCATCAGCCTGGTGAGTGACAGGTTTTGCTCATGAAAAGATAAAAGACTAAACGTGCTTGATCCAGCTAGAAGCACTTATGGTATAAATATTGTGGGACCTGAGCAGGAAATATGTCCAAACTTAGCCCTGAATGTATTTCTCCTATGTATATGTTGGCAATTGCTTCCATAGCTGTATTTTTTATTTATCAGTACAAACTCCTCCTAATTATATTGAATTCCTGAGGTATCAGGTAAGTAAGAATTGCAAACATACTGTATTGTTCCACTTGCTTGTTGAGGCACAGAGCTGTGTCTGGATGAACATAAGGAGAAATCTCCTTTGGAGAGCCCCAGGAAATACAGCCATCCTCAGTGATGGTGCAGTGACCTCACAGTCTATGCATCCTACTGTCTATCCCAGAATTGTGTGTGGCTGGGACATCCATGTGCCTTCCCAGGAGAGAGCAGTGGGGGGCTGAGGCACGTCATAACTTCAGAGGAGAGGTGAGGTCTGTGTTTGTTCCTGTGTGTAGTGAAGGAGCTGTTCTGTGAACTTTCCCCAGGCAGCCTTATGGTTAGAGATGCATAAACAATAAGCACTTGCCTTGCATAATCTTTGAGGGATTAAATTCTTGCTTCCATAGAAACAGCTCCTCTCTCCTCTTCTGCCCGGAGCAACAGAGGAATCCAAAGAGTTTTTATATTCAGGTGTGTTCCTTAATTCATCCCATATCTATCAAGATCTGATGGCCATTAGCCATTTGCATGAGTGATGAGGCCTGCACAGATCCATCTTCATTTCTTCTGCTTTTATGATCTGCGTGTCAATGCCTTCAGATCCTTTTTGTGCATGTGCACATTTATCAAAGCATTGACAGCCACTGTATTTCTGTCTGTTACTTATCAGAGGCAGGGAGGGAGTTCTGCCTTCTTTTAAGAGCTAGAAAACAGGATCTGCGTTTAACCTGAGTGCCTTTGAATATTTATTAAGGTATAGATCTAAAAAACCCCAAAGGGGTGTAGTTCTGTGTGTCTCACCAGGAACAGTGCAGTTGGCGAGATTTTTGTGAACAGAAGAAGACAATTTGTGTTAACAACAGTGAGCGCTATCTGCAGAGTAGGGAGCAGGTAGAATTCTGGGCTACATTATTCTGAGTTTCTCTTCTGACATCTGATGATTTTTTGTAGGAGAAAGGAAAAGATAAGGAAAGATAATTAGTAAAAAATGTGCTGCTTTGTCAAAAAGAGACTGTCCAGCAGTCTCAGGAGCACCAGCCTGAGAGAAGCTAGAACTGCACATATCACACAGGTCCCTGAAGAAGTGCAACTCCTGTGAAAGCCATGTGGCACCTTCTGTTCACATCCCTCACCCCTGGCAGTGGCTGCAGTGAGCTGGGCACGGGGTTTCTTCTGCTTGGAAGAGGCTTCAGTCCATTCTCTGAAATTCTGGCACCATCCTGGATATTTAATGGCAGATTCTGGGGAATGATGGTTGGGGCTAAGTAAGATTGCATGCAGTGGAGACTGGAGGGAGATTTGGCTGTTGGCAGTGCCCTTGAGGGCTGGTACAGCCTCTCTGTTGTAGCTTGTGGGATGTCAGCAGGAGCCAGCATGGTGGCCAAGGGGAGCTGTGGCACTGGGTGCCTGGAGGTGCTGGCCTGGTACCTGGCAGCCTCCAGCTCTGCCGAGGCCTTCAGTGCCAGTGCTACGACTGCTTCTGCACCCAAATTGTATGGAAAGCTTTGTTTGTTGTTTTAGTGTTATTTAAAAATGTGCATAATAGCGATGTGATTTATAAAACAGACTGTTTACAAGACATATTTTGTATCTTAAGATGTGTGTACTGTAAAAAAAAAAGGAAAGGATGAAAAATTATGTTTTTCTACAACTATCAGCAGTGACTGCATGTCTGTATCATTGTCCACCAACTGTTGTTCCTCAGGGGTCACCCCACCATTCCTGTAATCCTGTCAAAAAGCATCAGGAAGCAAGTGAATCCCTGTACAGTCTTGGGAAGAAGGTTTTGTGCCTTAAGAATGGGACCTGCTTCCCTCCTATTTATTTTGTTAATTTATACAGTGATTACCATGGAAATGTCTCTTGGGTTGTTGTTTTGTTTTTGTTTTTTTTGTACATAGTTTACTTGTTGTAAATACATTTTTTCTTGTATATAAAGTAAACATGTTTCTGAGCTTCCAGTAAGGATTCTCTGCTACTGATTTCATTGTGAGAGCGCTGCTGTGCCCCTTGGGTGGGAACCAGCTAATAAAACCCTGTGCTGTGATTAAATGGTTTTATCCCAGCTTGCATCAGAAGTTCAGAGCTGTTCCTTAGAGAGGAGTGAAACGGTAAATGTAAGTGCTGTAGACTAATTTTGTAGCATTTTTTGTGTTGGTTTAATTGACATGGAGTAGAAGACATCAAGTAGTTTAATTTTTTAGCTATGTCTTACAGTGAACAAAAGTGTCCTGAATTTCCAATCTTATTTCTGAGACTATACCAAATCTTAGAAACAAACATGTATTCAAAACCACATAACCTACATAGTAGCAACTAGCCAGGTCAGCTACAAACATGAATAATACATGTATTACAGGGTACTACCTGTGTTTCTATTTAGGTTTCCTATTTTAAGTTTCCTGTCTTCAGGTGTGTTTCATAAACTTAATTTGCAGCAAAAATCTATTGTTATTAATCTCAGCTGAAGTTTTCTTGTTGAAACTGAGGATAAAGAACATACCAGTAGAGCTTTGCAGTGCACACACCTTCCCTAGCTGGGAAATGGATGCAGCAATCTTTTTAGCTGAAGTCCCAAATGGATGAAGTTCGTTTAAAGAGAACTTGTCTTCAAGCAAGTCCATGGACAAATTTGTGAGGGAAAAAGAAAGTGAAAGTTTTATAAGCAGTCAGAGCTCTCCTAATCAGTGTCATGGGATGGGAGCTGAGATTCCGGGGGAGCCATCTTTTCCTAACCTCTGGTGGCACTTACCCTGATGTGCACAGGTAATTTGCATGAAGATGTCATGAAAGAATGCAGGAAGAATTTCTTCCTGCAAAAGGTGGTCTAGCATTGGAAGGGGCTGCCCAGGGAGGTTTGGAGTTCCCATTCGTGGAGGTATTCAAGGAATGACTGGATGTGGCACCCAGTGCTCTGGTCTGGGAGACAAGGTGGGGATCGGTCACAGGTTAGGCTCAATGGTCTTGGAGGTCTTTTACAACCTGAGTGACTCTGGAATTCTGCTGCACAGCTCCCAGAGGTGCCACTGCAGACACTGTTCTCAGAGAACTGGGACATGCTGGTTCCTACCACCTCCAAGGCAAGAGAACTTTTGAAAAGGATCGGAGGTTTTCTCTAAATGCTTGGTGTTCAGAATTCAATAGAGTATTTTGTTCTCATGAGAGCTAACCCAGGACATCAGAAGATGCAACATGCTGGTACAAGCATCTGGTATCTGCTCGTGGCTATCAGGGGGGTTAGTTCCCTTGGCTATTTTGTGAAATAGAAAGTGAAGTGGGAAGACTTAAAAATTGCAATATGTGTCTCTTTTGGGTGATTGTGTGCTGTGAGAATAGGGCAGGATCTTTAAAGAGACCTCAGCACTGGGTATGTACACTTGCAAACTATATATAACCATTTCTTCTTACCAGAGAATCAAAAGGAAAAAAAAAGGTTTGAGAAAGGCAGAGTAGGTGCCTCAGCTATTTTACTTCTTCCCTGTATGCAGGTAAATGGTCAAGCTCTCCCTGAGCCCTCTGTTTGCTTAACAACTAAAAAGAAAGCACTTCATGTCACTCCAAAGAGTAAATATCTGAAGTTATGGATTAACTAAGTTCCAGCAGAGCTCATGGAGGAGGAACAGATCACGCTGATTCCCACTGAATAAAGTAGTAAGTGCTTCAAAAGTATATCCTTTGAGATTTCCAAGTACAGCTTGCTTTAATGGAGCATGAAGCTTGTAAAAAATGTCCAGTGACAAGGGGAAGATGTCAGGACAGGCCAGAAGTATTCTGGGAGAGCTGTTGATATATTAAAGGGAATGAGCAAACCAGTCTGGAGGGAATCTCTAGCGAATGGCTGCTCCAGAGAGGAGCATTCAGCAGGGAAGCTGCTCTCTGAAAAGCAAGTGAGCGAGCTGGCTGAGCTGGATTGGTGGGAACTGTCTGCAGCAGGGTCTTGTGCCACTGCAATGTGTTCTTGACACCTGCCTTCTCCTCAGGTGACTTCTGCTGCAGGATGTGGAAGCTCCTCACCGTAGGGCTGCTGCTGGCTGCCTGCTCTTCACGGAGCTGCGGCACCTCAAGTAAGTGTTCTTTTTGAGAGATGGCCTTCAGCCTTTCCCAGTCACTGCAATTGCTTTTCCTGCTCCTCTGTTAGTCAGAGGGAGTGGCTGAAATCATTCCCATTAGGGGGGTTTGACTTCCTCTGGCAAAGACTCACAGCCAGTGCCGGGGCCATGGCAGCTGCCTGGTCAGAGCCCTGCTGAGCCCCATGAGCTGTCAGAGTACCACAGGGCAGAGGCTGGAGCTTGCTTCTACAGCACAGCACAGACAGCACACGGTGTCTAGGGCAGCCACTCTTGCTGTACTGGAGAGAGTCTGTTGCTCTCATAAGTGTCCCTTGGGAAGCACCACTACCAGTTTTCAGCCAGCCCTTTGCTTGTGCTTTCACCTTTTTGCTTGCAGTATTTTACAACAGTAAAGAGGCAAATCAAGTCCTGAGACTCCAGAAGCGGGCAAACACTTTCTTGGAGGAGCTTAAGCCAGGCTCTTTGGAGCGTGAGTGTGTTGAAGAGCACTGTGACTTTGAGGAGGCCAGTGAGATATTTGAAACCAAGGAAGCAACAGTAAGTTGTTTTTTTAAGGATGAGTGGAAAATTTAGCCAATCAATTATTTTCTTAAAATATTGCAATCCAGGGCAAAGGAGATCGTGCTGTCAGTACTGAACAGGATGTCTCCTGGCTCCTCCGGTGAAGGCATGGTATTGAGTGTCACTGTGTTACAGTGATTGTCAAGTTACCCCTCTATGGGCCACAAAGCTTGGCTACTCAAGCATGTCCCACCTAACCCACTCTGATGACGTTTAGGTCCCAGACAGTTAATTCCAATCCTTGCTTGACCCCATTGGCTATTCTTGCTGCTACTGAGTTTTTCCTAGTCCTTCCAGACTTTCCCTTTTGTTGTCCATTCACCAGTCCTGGCTGCTTTTCAGTGTATCTCCCAAGACTCCCAGTTATGATTTATCTTATCACTATGTTCTCTCTCTCCTCCAGACTCCTATTTTGAATTGGACACTATGTTTACTGTCTGCTGATTCCTGCCCCTTTCCACACTCAATTGTTGGGTTGGGTTGGACTCTATGTTGCTGTTTTGAGCAGAGCAGGCTCAAAGCATAGGATGACCCAGTCCTTGCTATCCCTCAGACCCCAGAGGAGAGAGGGGCTGTCCTTAGAATGCCCGTGCTTTGTCTAACTGGGCTCAAGTGAACTCAGGTGACTTACTGGCAGTAAGTGCCAAGAAAATAGCCTGCAAGCAGAGCAAGGGGGGGGCTATGCTTAGAACAGACAGTACAGGAGGGTCACTGGCTGGTTTTCTTGCTTTGTAGTGCCAGTCACTACATTGCCAAGAAGAATGAGACTGATGTTACTGCTATGTCCTGTTGGCCAAGACCACAAAATATTTTAAATCCCTCACCTGTTAAAAATAGTTTACTCGCTGTAATACAAGTTTTGTTTCTCCACAGCTAGATTTTTGGAGCAAGTATGTAGGTAAGTAAAGACTCCTAATCACTTCTCTGTGCTTCCTCAGGAGTTACTAGTACTCAACCTTCCTCCTGCCATGTGTCCTACACCAAGTCAAATTCTCATTCTCTCTCGTAAGGGGTGTGTAGAGGATGTTTTCCTGTTCTATCATACAAGCAACCTTCCTAAAACACTTGAGGTGCATCTGTATCTATCATCAATTATTTTCCTAGAATTAAGGAATGAGTGAAAAATGCTTTGATTCTCTAACCAAGCCTGACGTGGTCCAGCAGTAACCTGCTGCTGCCCTGCCTGCCTCAGGCTTTACTCTTTCCTCCCCTTCTGCCCACTCCACTCACTCTGCGGATGGAATTGAGAACTCAAACTGATGGCCCTGCCTCTGGCTGAGTGCCACAGAGGTGTCAGCATTAAGTGCCAGAAAAATGGCTGATACTTGGGAGTTGGGGGGGGGGTGTCTGTTCGTGTTGAAATGACCCTCTGTGAGCTCTGTATGGTTCAGAGACTAAGTTTTCCTACCTCTGTTTCAGATGGAGATCAGTGTGAGAAACAACCTTGTTCCAACGGGATCTGCAAGGACAATATTGGAAAATTTTCCTGCATCTGTAACAAAGGCTGGGAGGGCGTTTTGTGCAGTTATGGTAACACTGCATTTAACCCACTATAAAGTAACATCCTTTGGGACAGGGATGTCTGTGTGATAGGGATGGAGACTTCAGTCATTGCACAGCATATTTTTTCTTTACTAATGTGATTTCTCTCTTGCTTCTGGATGTGGTAAGAGGTTTATCTGTGCTTATCTAAAGCAAAATTAACTTTGTGTTACCAGAGGAGAATTTTAGAGAAATATCTAAATTTTGGACAATACTGTAAATAACTGTGCAAAGCAGAGGTTTACCTTAGAATTGTCAGCACAGGTATTATGGTGAGATTTTTAAATATAGGGGAAAATCCAGTTGACTGTAAATATTTTATTACTATGATGATTTCTTCTTTAGACAAAAGCTGGATACCATATTTAGGGATGAGCATTGTATGTCATGTATCATCAACAGTTTTCACTGTGTGACTTGGCACATAGTGACAGGGAATTTTCTGTTCTCCAGTCTACCTGACAGTATTCTGTTTCCTCCATCTCCCCACTGCCTGATTCTGGAACTAGGTCTGTTTGCTAAGGGCCTGAGTGTCATTGAAGCCCACTCTCATTCCAAATCCATTGTCAGCTGTTACCCACTTGAAACACGATGTCACTTTGCCACCTTACCTTTCTGTGACTCTTGACTTCCCAACTCCACATCTCTCTTGCTGTTTGTTTTCTCTACAGAGGCCAAATACAGCAACTGTTCCTTGGATAACGGGGGCTGTGAACATTTCTGCAGGGAGGACCCTGCCGAGCAGCAGCGCTTGTGCAGCTGTGCATCGGGGTATCAGCTCAGGGATGACCACACCACCTGTGAGCCTGTAGGTAAGAGCAGGATGTTTGTAGTCCAGCTTTGACAGAGGATTATTCAGACTGATGTAAAAGAGTTTTACGGGAAATTTATCTGCAGTGCGCTTTGTACTCATTTTCAAAACATCTAGTCCATGAAGACTAACTCTGCCTGTATTTCCCAGCTCCATACCCACTTTATGGCCCTTAATCCATATTTGCCTTATGGAGATATAGAGGGGAATCAGGAGACTGCCTCCTCTGCCGAGCATTGAGGGACTTCCATGAAGCCTTTGAACAATTTTGCCTAGGTTAGACAGAGGAAATCCTCTAGAAGGAGGATTGGGTGATCTGGGCTTTGCTACTGAACTTCTCTGCATCTTCTGCAGTGGAGTTCCCCTGTGGAAGAGTGAAGTCGGACTACATTGAAGCCAAAGCAGACTTCAATATTCGGCTCATTGATGGAACAGTTGGAAGAAGGGGAGGCAGCCCTTGGCAGGTAAGGAGAAAGAGATTCTTTGCCACAAAAAGTTCAGGCTCTTTCTGAGCTGCTCTCCTGCCTCTCTGCTCCAGAAAGGCTCTTGCATTGGTTCTGGTGGTGTCATATGAAGCTAAGAGTCCCTTAGCTTTTTCAAAAGCATCCCAAAGGTTGGAGTAGCAGGAAAAAAATAATTAAGTATCTGTGAGTATTCTTGACCCTGTTGCTGTTGTCAAGTTTTTGATCTACTGTGCCAACACTACCAAAAGAGGATGGTGATGGCACTCACCTGCTCTGTTGCTCCATCCTGGGGAACTCATGGTGTGTGATGTGTGCTGCAGCTCCTGCAACAGCCTTCTAGTGGGAGGTGATCTTCCTGCCCTTTCTTATAAGTCTTGTCTGTCATAAATTCAAGTTTGCAGATTTAATCAGCAAAATATGCCATGGCAGGTTGGGTTATTGCAGAGAAAAGGGAGACCTCACAGATCTTGCCATGGAACTAATGAAGGCAAATAATTAGGGCCCGGTTCCCTTTGATATGAAAGGGCTTTTGACACCATAGCGTGAGATGTACAGCCTGAGATGATGTGCTGTGTCTGGTGTGGGACACACTCCTCATTTGTGCTCTGTAATTCAAAGCTTTGAGTACAAAGTGCTTCTTTGCAGTGACCAGCATCACCCTATGCTTATTTGGCTGAAGCCAGCCCTCATTCAGGAAGTTCAAAAATTTTTTTTAGGTATTTCACAGAGACTCTATTCATAGATCTTTTGTCCCCCTGTAGAACTTTGGCTTCAGTGAATGTGACATGCTTTGGTGCTTGATGAGTCTGGGTATTTGGCAGCATCCAAGAAGAATGAGTACAGTACTCTGTGAGCTGTGCTTCATGCAGTGTCACACCTCCCTTGTCTTGTTTCAGATTATGCTGCAAAATACCGAAGGGATGTTTCTGTGTGGGGGTGTTCTCATCCATCCAGCTTGGGTCCTAACAGCAGCACACTGCCTTGAGGAACACAAGAGGTTCAGAATTAAACTTGGTACGGAAAATCATCTGTCCCTGTATTTTTTTAAATATAACTGTTTAATTCCTAACATTTATCATCTCAAGGAAAAGACTAGCAGGTTCTGAAGACAAAAGTCCTTGGCTGTAGGTGTGGTCTATCTAGGCAGTATTTAATATGTACCTTAGCTTAGAACAAAGTTCAGTAAAAGTCTGATTTCATTTGAGCCATTATCAGCCTTACTCTGGAAGTGAGCTGATGGCTCCTGAGCACTGCTGCTGGTGCTTGCAAGTAGAAAGCCTTGGTCTCTTCTGCCTGTGTTTTTCTGATGATGAAAATATTTAAAGGCCATCCCAATACTGATAAAAAGTCTTGATCCCATAAGGAGAATGTCACAGGTCTCTTCCTGCCTTTTCATGTATTTAAACACTATTGCTTATGACTGTTTCACTGGAGAAGTGCTGCAGAATGGCAGCACTGCCTTTACTTGCTCTGCTGCTCTGGAGCATGAGAAAATGTCACTATGTCAAGTAAGTGCTTCTTCTGAATTAACAGACAAAAATAATTAGTGTTTCATTCACGCTTACATCGGGGGTTTTTTTTGAGCAGTATTTTCTATCTACCATTGGTGCTGAGGCATAACAGCTCAACTGCTTGCTTTCCATTAGTGAAAGGACAGATTATTCCCAGTATTTGTGAAGAGTCCTGCCAATGCATTATCTGTGAATACAGCTTTAAAAATAGATGGTCTGCGTGCATGTTCTGTACACAGTATGGATGTGCAGGTTCTTCAGAGCAGAAACAATAAGTTTATGTACATCCAACATAAAGAATTAATCGAAAAGTGCGTGCTGTAGCCTTGGGTCCTCTTAGTGCCAGAATATTCATCTTTTCACAGAGAGACGTCTGTCACCATAAAGGCAGTTCTCATCAGAAAAACCCAGAGACATCTGTGAGGGACAAGGAGGAAAGTTTTGGATTAAGACATTGCCATGTCCATGGAGACAGCCAGGAAAGTGTTTGTACTGAGCCTGCACAAGTGGTAGTCAACCTGTGTCTGTCAGGCTGGGATCTCCCACACGCTTCTGGATTTGCCCCACTGCTGCTTGCCACCCACAGGAGCAAAACTGGAGGGGGAACTTCCATCTGAGTTTACACTCAGCTTGGGGAGAAGTCTTGTAGCAGTGCTCATGTGGCTTTTTAGTATCTGAAAGTTAGTTCTCAGAGTAGCTGAAGTTTTGGAGGATGGATTTGAGAATAACACATTATTCCTGTTTGTAGTCTGGTTCCTGCATCACCAGCCTAAGAGCATCCAGAAGTATGTTCAGAACTCCAAGAAGATAGAGCAGATAGGTGGATGTAATGATTACATTCAAAATACTGTTTCTGCCTTCACAGTTAATATTTTTGTGCCAGCAGCAAGATTATGATGGTCCTTATTGTGTAGAAGGAGCTGAATGTGTTTCCGCAGCCTCTGGGTTCAGTACCTCCAGGTGTACATCCAGGATTTCTGGAATTTAAACCACCAGAAGTCAAAGGGTGTTCCCCTGGGGGTGAGGGAACCTGTCACTGCAGTGTGAAAGGTGTCACCCTTGGTTGATGGGTGCCTCAGGATGGAGACAGTTGGTGGCTGTGCTGATGTACAGAGCATGTGACCCCGTAGGAAGTGTGTTCCTGCAAAGCAACTCTGCCTTCCTCAGAGGAGATGGGCTTGAGTCCAGAGTTATTTCTGAGGCCTAAAGCAGAGTTTGTATCTGTGAAGGCAGAAATAAAGCTCTGCCAGCCAGCCCCCAGCCACGGTGGCTTCACACTGCCTCAGGGATGTGGACACTGTCACTGCAAAGAAAAGAGATTGTGATAGGAGAGAAAAACCAGTTTGTGATTGTTGGCTCAATACTAGCAAATCCATCAGGGGCTGGTGCCCTTAGTAAAAGACATCAGAGCAGTTTCAGCTGCCTGCTCTGGCCATGTGTGAACTGTCCATTGTCTGTCTGCAGAGGAGCAAGAAGAGAGATTCAGAAATAAACGGTCTGGAAGACCAAGATCCAAAGCTGGATTTAAGGGATCTTTTGAGAATATATTTCTGTAACTACTGTGGCTTCTAAGTCCCTGTGTTTGGAGAACTTGCAGGACCCCATTGACAGCCTTCCAGAAAACCTAGCTCTGCCTTTGCTATTGCAATGCATCACAAATGCATTTCTGGCCCCTTTCAATATAGTTTTTTGCTTGCTGTTCCATAACTGCTTGGCCTACAAAGTTGCTATGATCCTGTAGCACAAATAGCAACTGAGGAGAGTTAAGCAGTGAAAAATTCCTTAAAATACAGATGTAAGATTTCAGAAAGGAATCATTTTCCCCGTTAGTCAACTTTTTCTTACAAATCCTGACATTCAGCTGTCCAGGCCCTGGCTATGCAACATAAAGCTCATGTCCTGTTGTAAATGTCCTTTTTGTGGTGTGCTTGCTCTCCCAGCTTTTAATGCTGGCTCCAAGAAGGTTGTTTTCCTCCTGAAGGTGACCCACATCACATAAGTATAATGAAATATGAACACCACAGGGCAATTTGGTTTCTCAGCTGATGACCAGAGCTCTAGAGCTCTATAGGTATTAATGATTTCCATAAATATGAAAAGTTTAGAGATTTGTCCATCTGTTAAGAACACTGTTAACTTATGACATAAACAGTTGTATTACAAGAGAAGTTAAAACATGTAGTGCAGTCCTAATGTGTGGTGTAATCCAGATGCTTTGGTCTTCAAAGTAAAGGAAGCTTTGACAGTATCTGTCATCTTGTTTGCTCTTCCAGGTAAATTCCGTTTCCGTTCTGAGGCAGACGAGCAAACCATTTGGGTTGATAAATGGGTGATCCATGAAAATTACACCAAGAAGACCTCAGATAATGACATAGCCATGCTGCACTTGGCGGAGCACGTGATGTATTACAAATACGCGCTGCCAATCTGCCTTCCCACCCGCAACCTGGCAGAGCAGGAGCTGATGAGGAGTGGGAAGCAGGTGGTGGTGACGGGCTGGGGCAGCAAGAGCGAGCACAACAACAGCTACGCTGCTTTCCTCAGGTACATCGAAATCCCCATCGTGCCCCGCAACGAGTGCGCCCAGGTGATGAGCTCCCACATCTCTGACAACATGCTGTGTGCTGGGAGCCTGGGAGACAGGAAAGATTCCTGCAGGGGGGACAGCGGAGGCCCGATGTTCACTAGATACAAGGATACTTGGTTTTTGGTAGGACTGGTGAGCTGGGGTGAAGGCTGTGGAAGAAGGGGGAAATTTGGAGTCTACACCAAAGTTAGTCAGTACCTGGAGTGGATTCATCACCACATAGATATGTCAGCTCCTTTGAAGGGTTGATTCTGATCCAGAGTCTGAAATGTGGCTCTGTGCTAGTGACAGTATGCAATATAATGTACTGACAGATCTTCAGTATTAAATATTATGTGTTAACCTTGTGTGCTGTCTTCATTGTTATCTATTTTTTCCTCGTTTTTTTTTTTCCTCCTTCTCATTAGTTTGTTGCAGGTTATGTTGTTTATTTGTGGTATGGTCCTACTTTGGCCTTACAGGCAAGAAAATATCCTGTTAGCTGAGATGCTGTACATATAGCACTGTAGAAAATAAGGTTGTCCATGGTCAGACAACTCATCTTTGAAATAAAAATGGCAATTGTGTAAAGTGTCTTAACTGGTTGGGGTGGAGGGGACAGAGAAAAGTGTTTTGCAAATAACCCTAGTGACGCAGTTCTGTCATTTCACATGTACTGTAAGGTATTATCCACAGTAATTGTTTTGGTTTGCTCAGTGTTTGTATAATTTTCCATTCAACCCAGTGAAATTTTTATTATGTCTTTACTACCTCCAGTTCTTTACACCTTACTCTAGTGTTCACAGATTGTTGATTCAGCAGGTGACTGGAACTTATCTGTATTTACCATTCTTTGCATACTTGGTGGTGGATTTTACCCTCCCAAATTTCCTTAAAAGGGAATGGGAACTCTCTTCAGTGTTATTCACAAAAACAAACAAACAAAAAGCAACAAAAAAAACCCCCCAAAACAAAAAATCTTTAATTCCAAGCTTTTGCAGGCTCTATTTATCATGAAGTCTATAATTCTCTTCTAACTAACAAGCAAGCAAACACTTCTGTTCATTCCTGTTCTGGTGGATGCAGCAGGCTGCAGGCTGTGTTAGCATTGCCAATGCTCTTAGTGATAAATACATGTTTGTTTGCATCTCTGTCTGTGTGTATATCAGTAAATAAAATAAAGACATACAGCACAAATAAGTCCATAGGAAGTAGCAATAGTCCAAGTGAAATTTAATATCACAATTTATACTTTTTTCTAATTTTAGTACTTGAGACTTGTTAAACATAATTAATCTTGTAGAAAGAAAAAGGAAAACTATCTCTGCTGTAGTGATGTTTTCAACATCTCAACGGTCTTGGATGCATGTTTGGATCAGTGAAGAACTTTGGTCTGCTCTTGTGATGAGACTGTTAACAGGTACAATGAAATTTTATTAGAGTTTGTAAGAAATTTAATATATCAGTAAGGAGGCTTAATACCTCTTAAATTCGTTTCCTCAGAAGCTGTCTGTGCTTATTACCCAAGTGAGGCTTTTGAGTCATGCACTGAAGAAGTAGCAGTCAAGCCAAGGGCTTCTGTGTCACTTGCTGGCTCTGTCCCTCTCCTCTCTTCCTCTTTTTGCCTTGGGAGAGGATTTAGGGATGGACTAATGTTAAAGAATAATGCTTTGAACAGCAGCTTTCCCACCATGCCTGGACTGGGAAGAGGGAACCTGTAACACTGACTTGCAGGGAAAAACAAAGTTGTGTCCAAAGCCAGTAAAGCACAGGTCTGAGTAATGGCAGAAATTGTCATGTCGGAGTGGCTGTGACTGTGACAAGGCAATATTTGCCTGCCTGCCAGTGACTGCTGTGAATCCTCCTGCACACTCCCAGCTCTGCATATTTCAGCAGAGGTTTACAGAGCAGCTTGTGTGTTTTCCAAATCAGTTGGTCTTACCTGTTGGAAGGTGATGGAGTGTCAGAAATCTGCTCTCAGAATCTCCATATTTTCCTGAATAAATCTGTTGCAAAAGATGTCTTTTATTACTGAAGGATATTTTTAAAGACCTTTTGATTCTCTTTTTAATGCACCTGTGTAGTATATGTGTGGAAACACACATGCAGTTTTCTTCTGATTTTGGGTTTCTAATGTGTTTGATAGAATCCAGGTTGTCTCTCCTCTGTCAATATTTGTGATGGGTTAATGATCAACCTCTTGACCTCATGGCTGTTCCTGGTGTACATCCAAATCTCTTTCCTGTCTTCCTCTAAAAAATAAAGAAAAATGTGAGTGTAATTACATGGTTCTGTGGGAGGTGAACTCATTCTGGATCCTGTGTTTTTGAAAACATGCTGCAGGTAACAGAGGGGTACGTGCTGTTGAATCCTGGTAACTCAGTCCGTGTGGGAAAGTCATGCCAAGAAATCCAAACTTCTTTTACCTGTGACTCCTAGGTAGCTGGTGGTTGTGGAACTGTAAGAGGGGGTTCCTTCTGTTTTCCTGTGAGATTCTGGCAGATGTTTTCCTACTTTCCTTGATGCAATGGTAGCTCTGGGAGCTGCCTGGAGCCCGTGTGCAGCTATGAGTGCGCAGTGCCCGTGTTTCCTGGCCTGGTACAAGAACGGCGGCTGCTGGCAGCACTGCAGGGACGGCGACAGCGCCTTCCACGAGCTGTGTCCCTGCTCCAGGACTACGCCCTGCACGAGGATGGGGAGAGATGCGTGCGGGCAGGTAAAGCAGAGGCAAAGGGCAGCGACTTCTCCGTCACTAACTGCAGAAGAGCTGCAAACGCTGCAGCTACCGCAGCTTGCACTTAGTGTGTGAAAAGATCTCTTACGTTTACCTCTTTTAAATGTTAAGGTTCTTCTCTATCACGTGTCTGTAATCCAATGCCCCTGTGAGCATGTACAGGGTCAAGGAGCAGCAGGACAGTCAGTTCTGGCTCTGTTCTTTCTGCATCCAAGCAGGACACATGATGCTGAAGTGCCAGTGAGAGGCAAGGGGACAGGACAGGGGCTTTAAAACTGGTTGTTATGGCAGGCAGGAAGGGAGCACTGGGCTTGCATTCTGTCCTGATGGGGGCCCTGGGCAGGCTGCTCCTGGCTGATGTCGGTGACTTAGAGCAGGCACAGCCATGGGCCTTTTTCTGGGCAATGAGTCAGCTGGGTGGTGGCCAATGGCTTTTGGACATTACGATGTCAAGAGTTGTTTCTGGGCTCTTACTTGAAGGTTGAGTTCCATCCTTGGACAAGAAAAGCACTGTGTTGAGTTCAACATGACACCACATGTCCTAAGATCAAGTCTTTGTTTCTGTCATTGCCCCCTCCAGCACCATTTCCCTGTGGCCCAATCAAAGCTAGGTGGGCTCTGGAGGAATAGTGGCTTGGGTTGAAATAGCTCTGCAGGGGCCAGTGGGAGCACAGGGATGTTGTGCCCAAGTGGAATGGGAGCACAGAGGGCACAGTTAGAGCTGGAACAAGGGGAAAAGGAGACTTTAAAGGATGCTTTTGGACAGAGTATGTGCACAAAGGGTGACGCTGGACAAATGGGTATGGCAGGAAATGTTTTCAGCTGGAACATGACACAGGTGGCTCTGTGACCCAGAAGCCACTGTGGGACAGTGCTGCAGGGCAAGAGCTGGATGTCCCTGAGCACCATGAGGCAGTGGAGGAGACCACAGGCCTGGCAGGCCTAGGGGAGCCTCAGCTGCCCAAGGTGAGCCAGCCCAGGGTCCTGCAGGGCAGAAGGAGACCACAGCACTTGCAGCCAGGCGGGAAGAACAGTAGGAAATGCAACCGGGCCAAACCAGCGATGGGAGGGCTCTGGCTGGAATGGAACGGGAGCTGTTCAATGTGGGAATGAGGGGCTGCATCAGGACAGTGACTGGGGAGGTGTTTTGGACACACCTCAGCCCATCCAAACAGCAGCTCTGCTTTGGAGCAGTATGACTCCAGGCTAACGGGAGTGGACATTGCCCTGGCAGGTAATACTTTACTTCCAGTCTCACAATAAACACCACACCTAAATGCTTTCTTACTTTGTCATCACTGGGTCCATAAGGAGAAGCGAGTTCATCAAGCCATAATAAAGTTGTTTTTCCAGGTCAAAAGCAATAGAACGACACATTATTTCTCAGTCTTCTTTTTGATAATAGGGACCTTAAATACCTTTATCATTCTTCCCCTATCTTGCTTTTGGATTGGAATGTTAATACCCTCTCTATTAAGTCAGATCATCTGTGCTGTGATTCAGGTTGCATCTGCATGTCCTTGGGGAAAAGCCAAGTATTGCCTCCTTTTGGAAGACTGAAGACTAATTTTTACAAGGCAAGTTCCACGGCCAGGTAAGGTTCCTTAGAATGCTGAGCATGGTAGAGGCAAAACTGAGGGCTCAAAGGTGAAGGCAAGTGCATGTGGCAGACAGGGACAACTGAAGTGTTTGTTTCCATTGTCTTGTTTTGGATTCTAAATCATGGTTTGGGGCATTTTTTGTGGGTGTCCTTATTTGTAACTAATTTTCACTCTATTGTCTCTCTTTGGTCTGTGTCCTAGTGTTGTGTGGGGGCTTGCACACAAATTCTGATCTAAAAAAACCCCATGTTACCCTCAGTCTCTTTTACTGCTGTCATACAAGTGGATTTCCCAATTCCACATGTCAGGAAGTACTTACAGGTAGAAAAATCCAGGATGAGCATGGCTGGACTGTACATTCATTGTGGACTTTGACAAGTGAAAATGTCACCATTAGCTGAGTTTAGGCGAGCCTGATTCTGGGTTGGTAGATGGGAATTTTCTTTGAATGCTGCCAAACCTGTATATTTTCTTTTTGAAATTAAGTGTTACCATTAAGGAAGTTGAGGAAGTTTTGAATTTTCATTATGCAGGCAATTTGTATTTTAATCTTGTATATGTGTGTGTATATATACAGCTATGTATATTCATTCTATTTTTTAAAGAGTTTTTTTAAACCATTTGCATTCTAGTTTTTCATAACCTAAGACAGCATTCTGTGGTAATTGTTTTTTGCTACTTTTCAGTGTTTGTTTCTAGCACTACTGAACAGAATTAAAAGCATCACTAGGATATAGAATTAAGTCAAAATGGATCATGTAAAACTCCAGGAGCTGGACCATGACAGGAGGCCAGACCGTGTCACACCCCTTTCCCCTCTTTGATTATTAACAGCGCTGGGTGCTCACGGCCACAGTGCCTGACCTCGTCAGCCCCCAGCACGTCCCTGGGTGAGCACAGGGCACCTCTGACTGAGCTGTGCTTTGTGTGACACAACAGGGCAGGGCTGAGACAGGCCCAGCCTCTCTGGGATTTCGGGCACTGTGCTGAGGGGCTGGAGCTCTGCCAGCAGGAGGCCCTGCACTGTGTCCCACTGCAAGACTTCGTTCCTCCTGGGCACTGCCAGCTGGGGTGAGGCTGTGCCAAGCAAGGGAAATAGGGTGTATACACCAGAGTATCCAACTACAGCCGCTGGGTCAAAGAGGTGGTTAAAAGTGTAGCAGATTCAGAACATTTTTCTATTGACTTATCTTAATATCACCTCTAAGAACACGATCAATTCTATTATTACAGTGTTTCAATCTATGACACTATGCCTTCTCCCATCCTTAATGAAGTAAAATCAACTTACCCTCAAAGAAACTTTGAAATGCGTATATTGCTCATTTAAGTATTGCTGAGTAAAGTACTTGTGTATAATGAAGATCTACCTGCAAGTAACAAAGGAGGTGATAACCCTTCTTAATGTGGGTAAAAAATAAAACATTGTTTTGTTTTATAGAAAGCAGGCGCTTTCCATCTCTCAAGCCTACCTGTGTTATGACAGGCCCACAGCCTTGTGTGAATTCAGTGCTCACTGTAGCAAGTGCAGTTGTGGCAACTGTCAGGAGACAATGCTGAACACAGAGAGGGAGCTCTGAAGTTCTGGCACCAAGTACAACCTCAAGTACAAATCAGTTACATATCTCTATTTACAAATCTGTATTTGTATATAAATTTGTATTGTATATTACAATTACAGATGTTTTCCAATACAAAAACCGATGTCTGTATGGACTTGTGTATAAACTGAGCAGGAACTGACCTAGCTGCAGGATAAAGGGATTTTGTGGTAGGAATCGGAACAGGTGACCTTTGTGTTTCATGTTGATACAAGTTTTGATTTTCTGACCTTTTCTTACAATTGACTATGAAGTTGCAATTACAAACCCCCAGCACTTCTGAAAGTCCATTCTTACTGTTCCACAACGGAACCTTTGTTTTCCTGACAGAACAAGCAGTGCCGCACTATTATGAATAATTTTGACTGGAATTATTTGTATTAGGCCTTGCAAAAGACCACCAAGTTCAGTACTTCAGTACTAAACCGCTGAAGGGCTCAGCATGCTAAAACACACACCAGAGGTGGTTACTGAATTATACACATACCTGGAGAAAGCAGGAACAAAGCTCTTTAGTGCCCCAGCCAGCACAGGGGTCTTCAGTTCTTGCTTCAAGCTTCTGTCCCAGCACAAAGCTCTGTTACTGTCATTCCCTCCACACTCCCACAGGCCAATTTAAGATGTGACCCTTACACACACTTGCAAACTCTTCATGGCTGGTGCCAGCAGTAACTCAGTCATTTTCAGAAGCAAAGAAGCCACAGACTACCAGATGTTATTCTGCTGTCAGTCTGTAGCAGCAGGAACAAAAACAGCATTATCCCCCCTAACACAAGGTTCTCCTTCCCACTGGTAAAACAGACTTTCTCAAAGTAACTCTTAAGCTACCGTGATATTTTAGCTGGAAGCTGCTGGAATTTTAAGTGGTCAATCTGCTGGCTTTCTCTCAAACTTTTCATTGGTCTTCATGAAAAGAAAATCCTTTGCATGGAAGATGATCAATACTTCTAAATCAAAAGTAACAGATGCAGATCTCCAAAGACACAACAACTGATTAATAAAGCAATGAATAAAGAGAAAATGGACAAAGTTGAACAAAAAATTAACCCCTCAGTTTTTCCACATCCCAGGTGGTCTGTGAATACCTTCACCTGAGCAATGAACAGGCAGTCCCCTCCCAAAAAAAACCTAGATGTTTTATTTTTAAAGTGTTGCAATACAACAAATACATGATCTGTACAAAGGACACATTAGGGCCAGTTTAAATACAATCAGGAGAAAGGAGTCCCCATATTCACAGTCCTCAGACAACATCTTCTACCAGAACCTGAACCAACAATTTAAGGATTCACTTAAAAAACAAACTAAAAAACCAAACCCACCCCAAACAAGTTAAAAAATTTAAAGGTCTCCAAAGAGTCTGTGGGTGTATTGTCTTACAGCAGAGCTCATGGGGCATTCTGTGAAGGGTCACAATGGCATCTTATTGCCCTCAATGCTGATTTTCACTGCATGGGCCGATCTGCTTTTTTTCCTGATATCTGTGAATTTCCGCATCTGTTTGTCCAGTCGACTCACCCCTTTCTTAGAGGTCCCCTGGAACTTAAAAAATAAAACTAATAATTACCACTGAAAAAAAGCAGACGCCCCAGAAGTCCAAGGCAAGCGGCACATGCGAGGTTGCACCTGGGCAAGGAGCTGGGGGAGCCACTGGGCCCAGCTGGTCTGTCTGTTCTCTTCCAGAAAGGGAAAGCTTCCCCCAGTCCCTGCAAGGCCCAGGTGGAGGCAGTGGCACTCAGCCACCACAGTGCAGGGTCAATACTGTGCAGCTAGATACCATTTGGAAGTTTAGTATCTATTGGCTGGAGCTATGGCAGAACCACAGGGCACCAGTGTCACCACTGTGGACTTCCTGCAGCAGTTAGACACAGTTACACTGTGACTAAGGCTGACACATCAATTCCACGCTGGAACTGGCCAATTCAATGGCCAATTTCAGTGCCATTTATTTTAAAGGTCACGGATTAGTATTTAGAAAGCAAGGGATTACTGAACAAAGGCAGTGTAGGGGGTAGCAAAAAGAAATGCCTAAGCTGCCCATACAAGCTACTATAAGTTATTGCATTTCATCTCTGTATTTGAACTGCAAATGAAAACCAGGTGGTGCAACAATTATTCCACACAGATTAATACAGAGATGGTGTGCTGAAACACCACTGAAGACGAACAGCAAGGACCTTCCAAGCCACAGCCAGTGCTTCCTAGACGGCTATTTTCCTGAACTAGACAACAGAAACATTAAGTGATGGAAACATGACACCTTTAAGTTTGGGAGAAACAGTGATATCCAAAACATGCTACTTAGTAACTAAAAAACACATCCATTAGAAACTTGTTCCCATGGCTAAGAAAGGTGCTCCTGACATGCTGATTTTAAATAAGCTTTATTCATAAATCTGTTCACTATTCATTGAAATGATAGCTAAAATTTCACAGTGATGTTTAAGAAAATATCTTTTTAAAAACAAATAAATATGAAGCTTAATATGAACTCAACAGTTTTATCTAAGACTTGTGCTCACCTCTTCCTGTCACTGTTAGCTAGTGGCAGCCCTGCTTCACAGCACTGAAATGCAGACCAGGAATTGTCAAAACAATTCCTACTCATGCATGTTCTCCCAACCCATACTCAGCAGAGGATTCTTCTCCCCCTAGTCTCATTCTGTAGCTCCCATCAACCATCCCTACTGTCTCACATCATTCTAGTTCCTTGAAGGAGCAGGTGTGAAAAACACCTCACTGTGCCCCAGTCAGAGTCAGCCACAGACGCCGGCGTGCAGTGACACGAGATCCTGTACCAAGGGCTAAGAATTCCCATGTGTCGCTTCAGGTGAATCTGGAAAACCTAATTGTGTCAGAACAGCATTCAAAACCACAGGTGGTGCAAAGCTGGTTTTGAGCACAAAGCTGGTATTTTCACTGAACTCCTGTCATTCAGGTACCCTGAAGCTGTGCAGGCAGGAGCCATGGCAGATGTTATGTGCTAGAGCTTGTTTTTCTCCTGTACAAGTTCCCTTGTAGGTCACAGTACAGACACGAGAGAATTCAAGGAGAGTTTTCCAGGTTTAAGTTAGGGTGTACACACTCCTGTCCTGCATGTGCAAACTGCCAACAGCTGGAGCACATGCACTGTTCACACCTCCCTCGAGGGATACCTCTCCAACTTGGGAAGGCAGTGGTATGGCTACAGGGGCATCCTGTTGCCTTCAATGCTGAACTTGATGGCCCGATGCACTTTGCTGAGTCGTTTCTGTTCAGCAAACCGTCTCTTGTGCTTTTCCAAGCGACTAATACCTCTCTTAATAGTCCCGGGCTAGAAACAACATCTCAATTAATGGACAGAAGGAGAAAGAACAGCAGACAGCACAGCAATTGTTACTTCTTCCACTTACACATATTCTACCACATACACCCCTTTTAAATGAAACCATGAGTAGATGGATGAAGACAGAGCAACACAAAGGCCTCCATTGAAGATGTTCATGCTTACCAAAACCTCAAAGGTTTCCCAAACTGGAATATTATCAGACCATGATACAAAAGCTGGGAGAGGTATAAAAACATCAGTGCAGTGACACAGGGCCTGAACTGCAGCCTTAGCTCAAAATGCTTTAAAGCAAGAGGCCTGTAATCAGATTCTTACCTAAGAGAGAAATTCTAGAAAAGTTAACTCAAAAATCTCTTTTTGGTCAGAGATGTTTTCCTGTGAAAACATGTGATGAGATTTGAGCAGCCTACTTATCAGAGAATTTACTGTCCACACTCACTACAAGAGGCCCTTAAAAGAACTACCCTCCTGTACAGGAACCACAGTGATACGGTGACAGAATCCCAGGCTTAGGAACAGTCACCAGGACACTGCCAGTGCTTACCCTGGAGGACTCCATCTCCACATTCCACTTGGGCCTGACGACATAGTCTTTGTTGGAGGGCATTGGCACCCTGGCACGGGCACAGAACCCAGGGTCCCCGGGCCTGAGAGCCCTGTGGAAGAAAAGGATGTGACTGTTATGGACAAATCTTACCCAGAAAGAAGCCAGCCAATGTGCTCTCCTCTGAAACACACTGCATACCACTGCCTCCAAAACCTCTATACAAGTTCCACAGTGGTAGTGCCACCAAAACTCTTCACTCAATTAAGAAAAAAGAAAAAAACAAACAAAAAAAAACACCAAAAAATCAATCCAACCTACTTTTCTTCTCCTGTTAACACTTTCTCCAGGTCCCTACGGGGAGTCTGACCACCAGAGCTGCAAGAAGAAGAAATATTTATAGGCATCTATACACAGGGAGAGAAATTTTAAAAGACAATCAAGTATGTTAAAAGAAAGGAAAGACCATAACTTATTACCCTTTATTCCCTTTAGTATTTACACACTACTTGGTTTCCCTTGATGGAGTCATAGAAGAATTTCATATTTCTGCCTGCTACTCTTACCTGCTCATCTTCCTTCGATGAGGCATCTGTTCCAAATCTCTCTGTTCCCTCTCTTCTCTGGTCATACCTTTGTAGTTTGAGGTAAGGCCGAAGATGGGTCGAGACCATTCATCTATTAAAAAATAATCAGTTAACAAAGACTAGACCTTTGTTTTTCTCAAACTACTCTGGTGATCAAGTACAGCTTTGAAAGTTTATGGCAAGTATTTATGCTTTCTTCCAACCAATCACTTTTTGAGTTCTCAGTATTTAATGGAAAACCAAAACAGAAAGCAAGAGCTTTCATCCCCCAAGTCTCTTTGTTGCCTGCTCTTTTAGAACACCTCCAAGCTCTGAGCACTCAGTGTCAGGAGCTCCTGCACAACCCAGGAAGGTTATTTTAGAAATATGCAGAAAAGTTTCGAAAGAACGTAAGTTTATCATCAATCTGCAGCCACTCTGGATGGAATGCACTCCACATGGAGTACAGCTGGTTGAATAGTAAACATTCAGTCAGCCAAGTTCTCTCTGAAGTCCAAGGAATAAGCAGTCCTCTGGCAGCACCTTCCTTCCTTTGCAGCATATATACACAAGATCTGGACAATGAGCCAAGACAGAATTGGGGCAAAACAAATGCCATCCTCTGGTTTAAGACAATGAAACAGGTGCATGCAGTAACAGTGTTTGTTAAAAGCTCTGCAAAGTTAGGAAACAGATCAGTGAGGTTCCTACATTGCAGAATCTATTCTACGACTACAGCAGTGCGTCAGAAGCTGATGCAGAAGTTCCAATCAGCACCAGTGCAATGTCAGGCCAGGCACAGGCAGGTTTACGTACTGATCAGCTTCCCAGCCATGTCCTTGTTCGGCCTCGACTCCTTGGGGTGTTTGTACAGGTACATCACAGCCCGTCCGATGCCGCTGTGCTTCAGTGTCTCTTGGCTTACACTGGGCAGCTGCAGAGAAAAGGAGAAGTCTGAAAACAGCAATAAATTATGTCTGAACATTAATGGTGTCACTTAACTTTACAAAACTCATCTTTCACTTAAATCAGCTTGGAAAAATTAATGTTTTCATTGTCCCACTAGGAATTGTTAAAAGTATCAAACACCAAAATCTAGAAATTTGCCCTAACATTCTTGGGTTTATATACAAAATTAGGTAGCTTTCTATAACTTTTTGCTACAAGTGCTCTTTAGCTTATATTACTCCAAAACTGTGCTACTGCCTTCAAATCATTCATTCTGTAAAGATAAAAACTTAGGTGGCAAAGATACTCAAACAATCAGCTTAGCCACAGACACTGAAAGCCTACACTGAGTATCAGAGGCCTTCCCATGCACTACATATTTTAAAAGAACAGAAAAGAGAAGGGACCACAAGGGAAGAAAATTCAGGGATGCACAGCAACAACTCTTCACTTAAATTTGGATATAAACCTGAAACAGGCAGGCAGGGCCAAATCATCTAAATTCTTTTACATAAGCACATCTGTTGTGCAGGTCGCTTCCTTGTGTGTTTTACTGCACAGCCCAGATGCAGCTCATTTATTACCTCACACTTCCCTAAGGCATATGACCTTGGGAAAGTAAAACTGTGGAGAAGCCTCAAATCAAATGTGGTTAAAAGTCAGTTCCAAACCTCTTGCAGGATCTTCAGAAGCTCCTCTCTTATCTTCAGTGCTGGCAGACTTCGGTCTGGAAGAGGAGAAAGCCACTCTTTGATGGCAGACATAACACCACTATCGATGAAAGTTTCTTTGAGATCCTGCCTAAAAGGTTTAAAGAGAAGCCCAAAAGTCATGTAATATAGCAAAATCTTAAGATGTGATGTTCCTTCAGGAAAATAGCACATTTGAGTTTGTTTAATGTTAAATTAAGAGGGAAAATGATGTATAATTTTCGATTTTTGATGTCACCTAACTTCAGCATTTACTTGAAATAAAAAGTTTTACTGCATATTCAGTACAGCTGTAGCGTAACTCCACGAAATCTTACAAATTCTGACTATTGCCCAAGGTCACAGTTTACTGAAAGAATGACAACTCACTTTTTAAGATGCATAACTACAGTTGGAAGCAAAGTTAATTTCTTTAGTGCGGGTTTCTTTTGTGTATTCAGCTGACGATCCTCCTGTGGAGAGTTGAAAAAGCAGCCCAAGTTAATCAAAGAAAGAAATCAGCAACCCCCATTTTCTTCCTGCACCTTTATTTCAAACTTTGCCACCTCAATCAAAACATCTGGCTGTCATCTTGTCTGAGAAAGGCTTTCTTGTCAAGTGCAAGAAGTTTCACTTGCTTTCTCACTGTCCCCATCTTTCTGAACTCATTATCCTTCTGATCTTGTTCTCAGGAAGATTTTTTTGTCGTTGCTACTTGCAAAGCTCCTCTTTCTGAAGTCTTATATATCCTTCAATTGGTTTTAATGTGTTTTATTGTGCTCTTTATTAATTTCATTGCTACTCCAACAAAACAGAAAACATCTGACAAAATGCAAGACCCAAAACCACCTTCCACAGTAACATATTAAACATTTCTCCTAGGAAAAGGCAGGCTGCCATGACAGAAAGTCCCATGAATCTGTTACTCTGATATCATTACCACAGCACTGTCATTCAAACAGTTTGGAAAAGGGCTCTTCTCAGGAACAAATATCAAAGTATAACACATGCCATAACACTATAATGAAATTAAAGCATAGTCCCTTTCTCAGTATTTAACATACTTCTAGGTAGTTTATAGAGCACCTATATACAGAAGAACTTTTAATAAAAGTTGACCTCGGCTCATCAAAGTTTTGCAATTTAACTAATTTTTATTTTTAAAATTAGTATTTTATCAAAATTTCGCAGAATAAATGCTTTTATTTAGAACAGCAAATAACATTTAAAGGGTTACATAGACATTAGAAGCTTTCCACAGTGTAGAGATTACTCCTGCCGAATACAAGCCAGAGTTTTGTATCTTATTAATCACACGATTTTCCTATAGAAAGGAACTGAATTTTAAGGTATTTTTGAAGCCTGGAAAACTCACCTCAGCAGCTTCATTCATCTTCACAATCATGGCACTGACCACATCATCTGCATCACTGATGAAAGTTCCCCCATCACGGTTCCGCCTGCGCTTGCCGCTCATGCTCTTCTTCCGCTGCAGCATCATGTCAAAATCTGACATGAAGTCCATGCTGAAACACAACCACAGTGTTAACTGATGGTCCTTGGCAGGAAATCATTTTGTGTTTCTGTAGTGTACAAACACTGTATCTCAAGGTCCCTGCGAGATAACTGATTATCCTCAGTATGCAAAACACAGAACTCATAAACAGCTCCAATGGCTCCCAGACGCCCTCAGACCTTGCTGTTAATACCCAACATCTGCACATCTGCAATACCCAAGGTCCATAATGCCCTTTCACCAAAACCTGGCATTAAGAAATGAATGTGTAACACAGTGACTTACTGCTTCCCTCTTTTGATGTTATCATCAGAGTCTGATTCATCTGCTGTCTCCTTCATGTCTCCATCACCTTTCTCTTCCTCCAAATCCTCCTGGTTAAAACCCTGATAAGTACAGATAGTGCATATCAGTGTATGGATCAGGACTGAGCATCTACTCAGGTACCTGACACTAAAAAAGCATCAGGTATGTCTCCAGAGGATCTAGAAAGATCAACAGAGTCTTTTTAATTCCACCTGTGACTACTGCCACACCAACAACTCTCCCAAAAGATGAGCTGTGTCATTTAACCCAAAGACTACCCAAGTGAGTCTGGCAGATACAAAACTGACCTGATGCAGCACATACATTCCCTTCAGACCTATCAAGTCAACAGGAGACATCCACAGTGACACTTACTGTAAATTCCTCCTCTTCCTCATCACCAGATTCTCCAAATATATCTGCAATCAGGTTCCTGTGAAGGAAACAGCAACATTTATCTATTTGGACTACAATGAGATGTGCCTTTTCTGCAAAATCTCTAATGACTGTTGTGTCTCCTTCTACTGACCTTTCTCTTCATGCCACCAATGAAGGTGAACAGTCATTCTCTGGTTGGGATTTATCGGTTTTCCATTCACCACCACTCCCACTGTCTGCAACCCCTAAAGAATTCATATTCTTTTGCACTTACTCTTGTTCATTTCCAGATTCACTGTCACTGCCAAACAGATCTTTCCCTTTTTTCTTCTCAGCATTCTCTTTTCCTTCTTCTTCTTCCTCCTCTTCACTATCAGATACAGCATTTTTCTTCCTTTTGTCAGATTTCTCTGAAGCAGCATCACTATCTGATTCTTCAGCATCAGAAAGGATCCGTACCTTTTTTGTAGCTGCCAGCAGAAAGGAGCATTACTACATGTCCCAGTAACAAAGGGACAACTGTTACTCTCAGATTATTCTCTGACTAGTCTGCCTACACCAGACCATTGCTATTTCTTAAAAAGCATATCCATTCTGAAGTGTTTTATTAAATCAGCAACTAGAGCTTCCATACACCATATCTGTCCATTAAAAAAAAATTTAATTTCAAATCTCTCCCCCTCAGTATATGAAAAAAATGCACAGGAAAAAATTACTAGAGAAACAGCAACAAAGTACATAAATAACAAACTACCATGTCAACAGACGCCAGTTAGATCCCTACAGTCTTCTGTTAGACCTACTTACTACTCAGAAGTATTAAATACACATTCACACAGCAAAGCAGTCAGAGCAATGGCCTCTACGGATGCAGTTCTGTTCCAAAACCAAATGTGATTTATGGTTTCTCATTTAGATGTTTTATTCACATAAAAGCAATGATTTAACTTTCACACCACTGCCTGTCACAGCACGTTTTCACAGTATAGTTTCTTACGTGTTTTCTCATTGTCATCCTCACTATCAGAAAGGATGGCTGTTTTCCTCTTCACCGTCTTTTCTTCCTCTTTCTCATCTTCATCACTGTCTGATATTTTACGTCTCTTAGGAGCTTCGTCTTCACTGTCAGAGCCCTGAAATTCTTTCCTTACATGTTCATTATCTGAATGATGGGAGTCATTCTGCACCTTTTCCTTCCTGTCCTCCCCATCGCTATCTTCAGACTCTATCTGCTTGTGTCTGGACACATCCTCACTCTCCGACTCGCTGGCTGGCTGCTTCTGGAGCTCCTCGCTCTCGGAGTCGCTGGCTGGAGGCTTCTGGAGCTCTTCACTTTCAGAGTCACTGGCTGGAGGCTTCTGGAGCTCCTCGCTCTCTGAGTCGCTGGCTGGCTGCTTGTGTGATTCCTCATTTTCAAAATCACTGCTGTGATCCCTTGGAGGTTCTCCATTTTCAGAGTCACTCGCTCGATGATTTAAGGAATCTTCATTTTCAGAGTCACTTAAATGCCGGTTTGGACGGTCCTCAGTATCAGAATCACTGTCTTTCCCTCCATGAGTTGCTTCATTTTCTGAATCACTTACATTGTGATTTGGGGGCTCCTCATTATCTGAGTCACTTTCTTTTTGCCTTGGGATATCTTCATTTTCAGAGTCTGTCATATGAGGCTCTCCCACTTGCCCTTCATCTTCTCCATCACTGTGTTCATTCTGAAACAGAAAAATAATCTCAGGCAACTAAGCAAAAACACCTTAAAAAGTAAAGATAAAAAGTTCTGAGTTTTGTCCTTCCTCCAATTTGATTACCCAAGGTGCTGCAAACTGAAATAACATCCATGTAGAAATAATTAGACAATTTGCATCAAAAGACTATCAAATACTTTACATCAAGAAAAGTATTAAGAGATCAATGGAAGTATGTTCATCCTATAGCTCCATGGTATTTTGAAAACAGTAACAGAATTCATAGAATGCTTAAACAAGCATGTTTAAGAAAGGTCCAGTTGGTGAAGGGTAAAGGCTTAGTACTTTTGTTTTAATGGGTCAGGCCTTCAAAGTGGTTTAGTTGAAATTCCCAGTAACAAAGCAAGAAAGAGAATCCTGCATTTGTCATTTTATTTTCCTGAAGATCTCAAATAGATGTGTTCTGTGTGAAATACATCTTACTGAAACAGCACATGCATTATGCTCCAAATGAAGCTAGCACCTGCTCCTTCTTTGTCCAGGAAACCTATTTAAGAATAACTCAAGACCAAAAGTCTAGCAAAAAACAAGAATAAAGTTTTAGTCAGACCTTTCAGAGTATTATTGTTAACCAGTTTTGTGTTTCTATGTGCAAGAACAGATTCAACAATTCTCTTCCCTATGCTGATAGCTCCCATGCTTATCCACACACTCAAGACAACCCATACACAAACACATCCAACAACTTTAGAACTGAAACAATCCTTTGAATCTTCTACATAGCAAAAAATACTGACCCACATGCTCCATTTTTAAGAAAACCTCTCACAAGCCACCTTGCTAAGTATAATTACTTACAGCATCATCTTTTATCTTTCCAACATCTAATTCCTACTTGGGAAAAAAAAAATCTCAATTGCATTTACCTGAGAATATAAAATTAGATTCTTGAACACTCACTCCATTAATTCAGCTCTCACAGCTACCACCATAATCCTGTTTTCAGCTGAAAACAACAACATAGTACAAGGAACTTCTCTTCTGCATACTTAACTCAAAGCCTCAGTCAGGCTTACCTCAGTCATTTTGTCTCAGCTATAAAGTTTTTCTACTTGCAAACTGAGTATTTATTGTCCTAGGAGATGCTTTTAAGACCTGTATATCCTGAAGTTTCCAAATCTCTTTTTTTCAGCAATTTAGTTTTCTTGGAAACAGACTTTCTATCTAATTTTATCTTCTGTAGTCATTCTACTCCCTCATTCAGAGCCATAAGAAAAATGTAGGTGTAGCTATCTTACACCTACAACAAAGAATACGATACATCTTTAAAATGTATGATGAAGGAAGAATTTTTAAAAAAGTTAAGTTCAATTGCTTATAGGAACTACCTCCTCCATAATTATTCTAAGTGGCAAAGAGCATTGCTTTTTAAGACTTTGGACTTTATACACTTATTCCTTTGGCTAGCACTTGATAAAGATCTTCTAAATTACTGCAGAATGACTAACAAAGTTACTGAACAATGAAAAAAACCCCAGGACCATACCATGCAATTTTAAAACAGGCACTTCAAATACTACTTCACTATTTCTATGTTACTTAATGCTAAGTACAAACAGCTGCTGTGACAATCTTAGTTGTTTTCTCTCTGGTGATTGCTCCTGTCTCTACAGTGATGCGTCTTTTGAATCTTTCCCATCCAGTAATTCTTATCTCTCCTCACAGAAAGGAAACATGGTTCTGTTAAAACCTGAATCTGCAATTTTAAAGAATTAAGTATTTCTCAGAATTGACGATGTACACTCAACTGCTCTCGGTGTGTTATTACTTTTTTCCTTACCAAAAAATCACTTTGATTGCCCTTCTCCTACCTAGTATGTCCCACATAAACCAACCACACGTGTATGTGACAGATCATCCCTGACTGTATTACTTTAGTCTAAAGAAAACAGAACAGAAAGCAGATTCACAGCAGTTACAGATAAGGTCATTGAGAAACACTGAAATCAAACTGGTATCTACAGTAACAAAAATGATTTAATCCTTGTTTTCTACCATTTTATTTTTGTGGGTTTTTCTGTCTTCTCTCAATGTCAGATGGTGAATGCTGAATAGTACTGATAATTATGTTAGCAGTAATAAAGGATTTTGCTAAACAAACACAAGGAAATTAACAAAAACACTCCTCTTTAAGATACTAGGACCTTCATATTTCCAGCTTCCAGTTCAGAATTTCTTTGGTGAACAAATAAACAAAATTAAGAACCAACAAGAATCAGTAATGATTCTTAATATTTCTAAGGTCAGAAGTGTGGCTGCAGGTTATATATGCAGCTGTTCAGAATTAATCACTAAATTACAAAGAACTTCTTATTCAAAAGCCCGGTGAGAAGACACTATAATCGTAAAGCATTATTACTGAAGATTATGACAAGATCCCAAACGTTTAATCTGTTACTGCAAACTGACAATCACTGCTGAGAATGAAGATGTTTGGCGAGGGAGAGCAGACTCACAACTGGCAGACTCACCCAGTGCCCACCTGGAGAAGCAGCACCCGAGGTAACACAGGTGTCCCTGCACACCCTGGGCACACAGGCACCACCTCCTCTAGCCTGCTGTGGGAAGCTGAGCCAGGCAGCAGCACCGTGCCAGGGAGTGCAGCACTGCCCCAGAGTCCCACTCAGCACCAGGAAACTCCTCCTGCAGCAGAGCTGAGACGCTGCACAGGGCAGGACCTGCCCACAGCCCCCAGCACAAGAGGCTTCTGCACACAATTATTGAATCTGCGTGGTTCGGAATATAACTGATACAAAAAGTGACCAACTTCCCAGTAAAATGATGAAATGCTGCTGGATATGTCTGATAGTCTTCACATTCCCTCTTTATTAATTAATCTCTAAAAAATTGTTTTCAAAGGAATGAAGTGTGTAATTTTTGAGTTTTCTAGCTTTCCTTTTCCGAATGCTTGACTGAAAGATCAGATATCCTCAAAACTGAGTAGGTCTCAGGTAATTGCTACTGCATTTTTCTCTAATTCCTTTGCTTTCTTTTCTTCCTCCTCTTTATCTATAAACATTTTGAGATGTCCTTATTTTTTTTTTAATAAAAGAGTTCTATAACATGAGGCTTTAGTACAGTATAAAATAAGGAATATATCAAAATCAAATTTACAGTGTTACACTTCTACATAAAAATCACAGCTACCAAGCTGTTTATTGGATCAACATGCAGCCACTTTTAAGAGCTACTTCTTTGATAATTTAGTAACTTCAACAAAATTGAACCCACTCACTACAATCTCACGAAAGATGAGTGTTAAACTAAGACCTACACAACCATCATGGGCAGATCAGCAAGTTCTTCCTTTTTTTCAGAAGTGTCACATATTTGTGTTTGTTAAAAGCCACAGTCTAACCACAACTTAATTCGTGAAACAGCAGCAACTTGGTGGAAGTGTAAGAACTAAGTTATTACAGATTTCTGTATGAGCCTGACTTGGACAAACACTGTAAACATGATTTCAGATTCATTACTGTACTAAAACTAATTCTAATTGTCTAAAGCAGAATCAGTAAGGACATCAAGGAGAACATTTATAGATAAAGTGGGACTGGGGGAAGGAAAGCCAGAAAAGAATTGTGGAAAAGAAAAACCCACATACCTGAGACCTACATAAGTAATTCCTCAGGATTCCCCTTTTCTTTAAAGTTAAGAACCTGAAAGAAAAGTTTGAAATTTTAAAACTTCAGTTCTTTATATCTGAATTATAAATTAGAGACAAAATAGTAATTAAATACACTTAACTGATTAAGCTGTCTCAAAGGTTTTATTACCTTTGAGTGTCATTTCTCCCACATACTCCTAAAGATGAAGAAAATAAGAGGATGAGAGAATATTGAGAGTAAATAATACGACAAATGTCTGAAAGCTACTCCTTTCAGAGATGGTTTCTCCACATTACTGCCTTTTGAGTGCAAAGTGAACTCAATGGAGGGAAAGAAAAATTAAGACTCCATAGCAAAACAAAATATTCAAATTTTGGTTTGAGCTGAATCAAATAAAGCATTAAGGCTTGACAGTTCACATTTAGCATTGGTCAGAAAGATGGCTTGGCTCTTTTTTAAAAATTGACTTTCTGAAGTATTTTATCTACAGAGGAATATTTGCCATCACAGAACAAAGTCTATAAAATAATGCAGCACGTGAAGAGGACTATAACCAGATAACTGGTACTTTCTGCACACCTATATCTGAAGAAGACATGCTGCAGATGCAAGCAACAGTCAACTTCCTTGCCACAGTAAGTAAAATTAAAACCTCAGAGAAGTACAGAAAAATAAGAACCAATGATCAAGCATAAACCAATGACATAGCAAAAAAAGTTTAATATTATTATAGCAGCATCATGTCTCCTCATACACTCATCACACTTTTCTTTCATTAAAACAAAAGTACTAAATCCCTCTGGACAGATCGCTATTCTTCCCAGCCTGAGAAATGTGTTTCCTGCCACACTGAAATTGTAATTATCACAATGGGAGATGCAGCCTCACACTAAATCTATTTCTTGCCTTGGAAATATCAACACCTTTCCAAAAAAAAAGAAAATTCCCAATGTGAATTTTACAATTAAGTTCAAATTCATAGGAAGAACTTTCATTTTACAAAAATACAAAACCTTCATCCACTTTCTAACTCTGAGGGAAATATGAATTCAATAAAGGCAGAGGAAAAAAAGGAAAAAAAGAAAAAAAAGGATTGCAAGTTATGGCACAGTAGAGTCAAGCCTTCTCTCACATCAACCTTTGTCTCATTTTAAGCAATTTCTAAAATGTGTAACACTGAAAACTCAGAGTAAATCCTGATCTTTACAGAAAATACAGTAGAATACACAGAACACTACGAAATGGCTTTGATTGCAATTTGTATAAGTATCAGAAAGTTCTCTGTAACTCTGCTGGCAGAAGAACCGAGTTCACAGGCCAAAATCATTCCATCCGACCGAGATCTGATGTAGCTCTATTGTGAGTCAAACAATTCTTGAAAATTTCATCTTAGCTCCCAAACCATCCTAATCTAAAGAGAGCCTTCTCTTTTACCAGAATCTCTTCTCAACCCAGTCAATCCACAAATGAAGTGACTCTGCCCCAGAAACAATCCTGAACCAAAGCCTTTCCATGCTGAATGCTTCTCCAAGTGGGAACCACTTCAGAGGAAAAACAGGTCCCATTTGGGAACCTTAACCTGCTCACTTGCACACGTGCTCCTCTGTGAGTGACAAGGTGAAAACCAGCACAAAGCAGATGCAAGAGTCAGTGCCCCCATCTGATATGGAAGCTGGGAAAGCATTTATTCTGTCAAGGAAATCTGCACCTCCAAAGCATGCGAGTTTGTGTCACTGTGCAGAATTTCAGGTACAACTTCAAATTCCTCATAACCAATCTCTTAGATTTTCAAACCCCAAAATTTTATCTTTGTGAAAACGAGGCTAATCGAGCACAACTTCTTCGAGTTCAGAACACTGTGTGCTATCATAACGATTAAGAAAAAGGCCCCAAAACCTAGCCAACATACTTGTCAAGAGACTATCCAATGCTTTTTTAATGGAAATAAAGTTCTGCCCGATGGAACCCTTAAGAGGAACTGAATAAACACGTACGTCTCGGTTAAGAGAGAATGTCACTTTAAACAACAACACTCAGAGAAGAATAACCTTTATGTAGATAAAGCTCCCTTAGTACCTCTGAATGGTGCCCTACACTTCCATTCTCCGAGCCAGAATGTTGTTCATTTCCTTCATCTTCCACATCAGATCCTGAGTCTCGCTCGTCTTGCACTGGAGTAGCTCCTCCATCATCTATTCCGAAATTAAAAAAAGAAAGTAAGACTCAGTGTTTAAAGGAACCGCACAGGAGACGGGCGGGCTCCCGCTCTAACGGGGCAGGGAAACGGGGCTGTCCGAACAAACCACCACCACCTCCGGGACAGCACAAAACCTCCCATACCAGGCGGGCAGCCACTGACGGACTGCCCGACACCGGACTATTGAAGCAATTAAGGCCGGGCTGCCCTCAGGCCAAAGCCCCGCCGCTGTCCCCCCGAATCCGCGGGCCCTGCGGTGCCCGACACCCTCCCCTGCGGGTCCTGCGCCCCGTGCGTCTACCTGACTGCTCCCCGCCGTAATAGTGGGTGTCCATGCCGCGCCCCGCAGTGGCGGCGGGCACTACCCCGAGCGCTCCCTCAGCGCGGGCCCGGCCCGGCTCCGCCGCCTCGCACAGGAACAAGATGGCGCCTCCCCGCCCAGCAGCGCCCCCGCCCCGCGCGCACGGCGCGCCGGATCTCGCGAGACTGCCGGGACAGCGGCCGCCAGGGGGCGTTGCACGGCGGCAGCCGGCCCCGCCCCGAGGGCTGGTGGTCAAGCACAGCAAAGGCCGAAGGTTTTGCGTCTCCTTTGTGCTTCCCTGGCACCCCGCCACAACACCCTCAAAATATCGCTTCATTTCAGCTTCACAGCTGAAGTGCTGGGGAAACTGAAGGAGCCTTGGACCATAAAAGGCTGTTTGTAGCCCCTAGGTGACCACGGCTGTGCTCAGCTGCACGGTGACGTAGCTGTGATCCTGGCAAAGGTGTTGCCTTGTCTGAGCCCTGCGAGGATTTCCATGAGTTCACACCAAGCCCTGACACTGTTAATGGCTGCTCGGAACCACAGCCCTGAGCTATGAGAGAGTTGCCAACATCTCCCTTCTGCCAGACCGAAGGGCCACCTGGTGCGATGCTTCCCACAGTGATTACTTAAGGGTGGGAGATGGGGAGTGTGATCTAGAGCAGACAAGATTGTGCTATTTAAATAATAAGTAAATTTTTCTGCTCTTTACAAGCCAGGTCAGCAAGATTAACGTGCATCTCCACAAGAAGGTGGCAAAGCAGAGGCAGAGCTCAGGCACACGCACACAAGTAGGCTCTGATGCTGCAAGGGAATTGGCAATGTTCGTGTCTGCAGCTGGCTGGAAGGGGACCCACCGTGGCCATGGAAAGGAGGGACAGGTTCTCTCAGCAAATTCAGGCCTGACTGTCCTGGCTGAAGCTCCAGTTCAATCTAGTTCATGTGTGGGTGGCTCCTCCAGATTTAGCCTTTCAGGATTGACTGAAAGTTCACCCTGAGCTGCTGGGGGACGGTGACTTCCGGAGTAAACGTGGGCAAGACAAAACAATGCTCGTATATTTTAGGGGTTGTTGTGTTCTGTTTCAATAGCCCCTATCCTCTGAGTAATAGCATTACCCAAGTATTTGATATGCCCATGATATGCTACTTCAGGATTATTAGGGATGGCTGCTGTCATTCATGCAGCATTTCAAAATGATGGCTCTAATAAATCCATATGGTGCTGGTGTCCTGCCCCTCAGTCTGTCATAACAACACCTTCGTTTTCTAGAGAAATACAGGTCAGTATGAGACAGATAGAAAACTGCCACACGTGTCATTTGGTATATTTCTGAACAACAGTGACTTACAATTCTGCATGCTCCACCCTTGTTCAGAGTCATCAAAATCTAGTAAGTTGAGTAGTCAGGGCAAAATGAGTCTATTTCTTCTGTGCTAGAGGCACCTTGGAGTGGATGGCAGAGAGATTAAGCCACTATTAACCAACACTTCCCATCCAGTAGCAAGCAGTTTCATGCAGGGAGTTCAGTGTACCAGGCTAAACACAGCTGAACTCTCAGAACTGAGTCATTACTCAACATGTTTTACAGTGAAACACTTAGGAGAAACTGGCAGTGGAGTCAGATGTTAGTTGGATATAATCCTAAATTCTTAGCAAAAATCAGAAAACCTTTTTTCCCCCTGAAAGCAGCTTCCATAGAACACAGATAATGTCTGGTTGTTTATAGCTCTACTGGTCTTTTCCAGATAGCCACAAAGATCCTTAAGTGAGTCTTAGGACCACACTCTTAATGGTATCATGTCCTTTTTTCCTGCTCCTATATGATTTTTACTTCTTTTAGGTCTTTGCACTGTGTGGTTTCACTGACATCTTCATTGGAAGGAGCAGGCACATGTGGCAATATGTGATGGGAGGCTCATGTCATTGCACTTCTCTGATGTCCATAAAAAAATGGAAAGACTTTACACAACTGACTAAATAGAAGACAAGATTACAACTTTACAACACAACAAATAAAGGAATAAGGAAATAACTTGGTAGTAGTGTAACAGAAAATAATGGTCGAGGGAAAACATAAATAGAAACAGCCAAAAAAAAAACCCCCAAAATCCCTGTTGAATAATGTTTACCAAGGTACCTGGAAATTGTACCAGTGATGGTGAACCACTGTCCCAAATTCCAGATACACTGAGGCAGCACTGATGAAAAAATAGAGATTTTGTGCATTTACTGAGAGTGGAAGGAGGCACAGTGGTTTCTACCTAATCGTTATGAATTCCCTTCTTTCTGAAATGAAACCTCCTAACCTACTTGTGACATGCCATGTGCATCACACAGGGGAGAGAGAACTGTGTCTGAACCAAGCTCACCCCATCAATGCTGAATAACTGGGCATCCATTCCAGCCCTCGTTCTGCAGGTAACGTGTGTGTGCACACTAACGTGCACATGCCTTTGTTCCTCATGAGCCAGAGCCTGGCAGATAGCAGTCTGTAATATACTCTTGTAATACCATCCTGGCTGCTTCCCAAAAGGAAGGATGGAGTGACAGTCAGACCATAATGAGATTGCACAGTGGGGGAGAGTGACCTGTCTTCTACCAAGCAGCGTAAGCAGCGCCCACTTGGCATGTGTGAAGGTGTGTAATGACACAGATCCCAGAGCCCTGCCAGTCTGCCTCACTGTGCAACTCCATGAACAGGCTGGAATGAAATAACCCTTTCCCTGAGGAACAGAATGATCAAGAAAATCATGCGATGCACTTGGAAATCCTTTAATGGTATGTACTTCTTATTTAGTTCACTTTGTTCCCTGCACTGGCCCTTTCAGAGTTAACAGACATCAGTGACTTAGAGCTACAAATCTGCTTAGAGGACGGGAAGGAGGTTAGTGTAGGCAAGAGGACTGCTGAGTGAACAGTTCAAATTGCAAACTGTTACACTCGATCCACTTAGCTTCAGAAACCTCAGAGAAATAACTAGATTAACATAAAATGATGTTTGGTATCCAGGACTTGGTGATGCAGAAATGACAAGGCCACTTTGATTTAGCTGGAGATAAAATACGAAAGGTAGTGCCATGTGCAAATTAAACCCTTTGATCCTGACATCAATCTCTTAATTAGGAAAGTGTCAGGAAGAGGCAGTTTTGTTAACACATGTCTATCTGGACAGACCTATTGCTTTGAACAACAGCAGGATTAAATTCACCAAGGTTCATCCAATTTTATTTTGTTGCTTTTCTTGGTGTGAATCACAGAATGGTTTGGATTGGAAGGGACCTTAAAGCTCATCCAGTTCCACCATAGCAGGGGTGCCTTCCACTATCCCAGGTTGCTCCAAGGCCTGTCCAACCTAGCCTTGGACACTTCCAGGGATGGGGCAGCCACAGCTTCTCTGGGCAGCCTGTACCACTGTCTTGCTACATACTAAATAATTTTTTGAGCTTTATTACTTAAGATGTGACATCACAGTCTTCAGCATCAGCAATTTGCTTAAAGGAAAGGTCACAACAATTCATCAGCATAGACCATGCTACAGATTACCCCTAATTACCACTACAAATGTTCCTGTGCCCTGCACAGTCCCTCACCAAACTCTGTGTTCAGTAGTACATCGTGTTGTTCATTTCTGGCAAGTTCCTCTCCTGTCCTTCCCTGTCTGCACAGCTTAGTGCCTGCCCAAACCTGAGCTGCCCCTGTGCACTCACAGGCCCTTCTCTGTAGGCACCTTTAGCCTGCTCATCTCTCATTAGCTGCATGTGCTGCACAGAGCATCTTGAGTGCTTCCCCTTGGTATATCAAGTCCCTGCTCCCTCAGCTTTTATTTTCTACCTCTTGAGTATGTCAGCTGTGGAAATCAATCTCCCTTCTACTACATATTTCAATTGTACAATAAGTTGTACTTTTCTTTCAAATTACTTCGATTTCCCTATGATTCCATCTAGTACAGTGTCTATAGAACATAAATCCTGTACTTCTCTCTGAAGTAGCACAGGCACTGTGTCTTGGGCACAACTGTTAACAACGTAGTTAATTTTAGAATGAGATTCTCTGTCCCCAAATAGGCTCCATTTGGAATTTCAGCAGGTATGTTTTGTCTGCTGAAGGAATATGCATGGCATTTTTTTTGTCCAATTATACAAGAAGCTTTGGGTTTAGATATCTTCCTTGGTAGTATAAAGGTATGTACTTTGATTTCTTTGCCACTATTTGACCTTTACCTAATAAAATCAGTACTTGGAATTTTGTTAATCACATAGAGCATATAGATGTCTAAAAACTGTATCAAAAGTAAGTCTGCTGAAGAACTACTTTGGGGAAAAATCTTTGAGTAGGAATGATTTGCCAGAGTTAGAAACTTGAAGAAAGCTTTCTGTGGCTTTCTTGTTCTCTCCAAAAATCTCTGAGCCCTGAAGGGCCTACATTTTATTTCTCTACCTCTATCTGCTGCTGTAAGACTTAAAAACGCAGGTAAGGAGACTGACATTAAAACACAAATATGTGATGTTGATAAACACATGCTACTCCCAACTATTTATTGCCAGGCTTGAATACTTACCTCTGATTTGGACATGGAGCTTCAGCAGGGTCCCATTATACAGTGCAGCCACACTGAACCTAGGAAACAAGAAAATAAGAATTAGGGTATCAGGTACATACTCCCAATTATTGCACATTTAAATTTGCCTGTTTAATAGTGGGTACACAGACTAGTGCACAGTGTTGCACACAGAGCCCTGGAGAAAGGTGACACGGCTGGGTTAAGGTACATGGAAAAAAATCTCATCTTCACTGTTTGGGCTCATCATAAGGTTTGCAATGTGCTTGACTCCTGAGTTCTTGATTTGGCTGGAGAAACCTTGTATCTGCCTCTCTACAGATGTACTACACTTCTGTTTCTTTCCCATACTGGAATTTAAACAGATTTGCAAAGACACAGGGAGTACATAGGGAGCCAACAGAAAGAGGAAAGCTCTTGGCCATCCTGTCCTATTTTGGGAAGAGAGAAATGTACAAATAGGAAGTTAACATGCACCTAAATTCTGGAACACAGGGACAGAGTGTTTGTTGAGAGATAAATTAATGGTAGTGAAACCAGGACATTTTGTCCCATTATATGGGTGTGTGTATGAATTTCAGTTAAATGTGATGAGTTAATCTTGGTCTGAGCTCTAGGTACTGTGAAACAGACCAGACAGGACACAGACTGATGGATATTTTCTTGCAGAAAAGAGCTATAGAAAACCAAGGGGAGGTTTTGATGAAGAGATGAGGGTCTGATTTTCTTAATACATAACAGGGTGAGCGACAGTCCTAGGGAAGTCAGTCCTGTTGGAGCAGGATAAGACCAGATGCTAAAGGGAATCTGAAAGGATACAGGCCCAGTGGAGAGACTGAAGTTTAAGGTTCACTCAGGCAAGAATTAGCCTTCGAGCTCACTGGAACACCTGACCTGGAAATGACATATACACTGAACTGAGAGCAAAGTCCTGTAATAAATAACCGTGCCTCAGTCATTTCCTCCTTTGTGCAGTGAAGAACTGGCACTTAATGGCACCAGGGCCAGTTTCATCTTCTTTTCCCTTCTTACTCCTATGCTTATGAAAAAGAGGGACCTGAGCTGCAAAAGCCACACAGTGAAGATTTCTTCTGGAGAGGTAAATTCCCATCCTGTGGGGTGCGATTTGATTTATGGTGCAGCATGACTTTGTCGAGAGGAGCAGCAGAGAGAGCCTGGCTTGGCCAGGAAGTCGCCATGCAACCAGGTGCAGGGGGTGGCCACTTACAGCTTCTCTGGGAAGAAGAATTTTAAATGTTGGAACTGATATCCTGGGATTCTAGGGTATCTCCTCCCTACACGGCCACTCTTGGCTGCAGTCAGACCGGATCTGGGGCCAGCTGTCCCTTAGATGTGACACTGTATGGCTGTCTCTGTGCTTGCATCTGCCACTGCCTCCTTGTTCGGGGTCAACAGTTCTGCTCTTTTGCCACATTCTGGTTTCTGGTGCAGGTGAAAACGTGCTTGTCAGTTTGAATCACTGACTGTGGCCCATCTTTAGCCTGTTTGCCAAGGACTGTGCTTCTGTGCCACCCTGCACCACTCACAGCAACAGGCCATCTCAGTGCTGAAGTTGATACGTAGGTCCTGCCTCTGAGTCCTGAATAAGAACATGAGGACTTTGCCATAAGAATAACAGAATATGAAAGACCAGCTGGCAAATCATCCTAGTCATGGAATCACTCCCAAAATCCAGCTCTGTGGGACAGAAAGTTTCTTTGAAAACTTTAGTTTCTTGGTTAGGACAGCCTAAACTGCATCATCCCTTAATTAAAGCACTGCTGTAGATTTTTGGCCACTGATATTTTGGCTGTTATCTTCTTGATAGTGAGTCCCTAATTTTCTTGTGGTTTCCTCCAGTCCCTTGTTTTGCTGTTCATGCCTTGATTGCAATCCTTCCCATTCCAGCCAAGGAAGGTGAATTCTAGGCCTCCATTACTGTTTGGTGGTGGGTTCAAGCTGGAGGTCTGAGGGAACTTAGCTGAGAAAGTATGAATTAAACTTGTGTCACTGGCATAGCCACTGAACTGCTGGGTCAGTGGACCAGCTAAAGGTAACTCTATTGTGCATCAAATCACAATGCACCGTGGAGTCATTTTATCAGTGAGCCAACCTTGAAGTTCAGACAATAATTGTGCCTAGCACTTGACAGAGAGAACTATTTGGTATGAAAATGTACAGTGAAATCTTTAGGGCTGAGAGCATCTCCAGGGTTATGTTGTAGAGCTCAGAGCACCACCCCAGTGCTGCAGGTTATTTGCTTTGTGTAGATGGTCATTGTTTCTACTCTGGATGTGTCTTACTCTGATCTCTTCTGCTTTAACAAAATTATTTTAAGACATTTTACTGTTATTTTTTTTTGCAAGGAAATCCAGCTGTCTGTTCTCATCAAAGCCCTTTTCTGACCTAACATTATGTTCTTGGCATGCAGGTTGCATACAGTGATCTGAAGCATAATGGTGGTTTTCAGAAAGGTAAGTTCTATTCTTTGCTCTGATTGAGTGGTTAGCCTGAGGCCCAAATAGAAGAAAATTACCTTACCACCATGGTTCAATCAAAATAAAGTAGCAATAACCCAGTATCAAAAAGGTATAAAATAATTTCAGCTTAGACTAGGGAAGCAGGTGTCCTGCCTCATCAGGCTATGCTCTTGTTGAACAGGTGACCTCTGTCATAAGGTGTGGCACTGAAACTACACAAGTTACCTTTGGAGTTTTATTCAACACAAATGAGAGCTGTTAGTCTATAACATTCTTCATAATCTTGTACAATGTTTATGGATGCTTTACATTGATTGTTTGGTTTTAAATGTAAGCCACAAAGTGTTTTGATAAGAAAAAGAAATTTTTTTTCAGTAAAAACATTGAAACTATGACAATCAATGCTGTGGTGTGTAACAAAAGTTTTATATGACAAGACACAGCTAGAAAGTCTACTGATCTACAACTCTCTTCAGTTTTTATTCTGTCTTTCTGTTTGAATCTGCATTAGAGGCTGGAGCAAGAGAAGGTGTTCCCGAGGGCCTGGAGTAGGGAAATATAACCAGGACATTGGTACAGGCAACACCAAGATATTGCTCATTTCTAGGAAAGGGCAGCTGTGGCTTACCCCTTCCTCCAGGGACAGCAGAGCAGGTTCTTGCTTGCTCTGCAGAGGTACCAGATGTTGACAAGCCTCTACATATGTGAAGAGAAGAACTGGATAAAGAATGTTGGTGGGTTTTTTTCTCCTAAGAGAGATCTTGGATGCACTCACATTTCAGCTATAGCAGGAAAAATTAATATCTAAAATTTCTCACAACAGAGGCCTCTACATTTCCAGGCATCCAGTATATACATCTGTTTGTTTGGTTTTCTCTTTCCTGATAAAGTCTATGTTCTCAAGAATCTCTTCTGAGAGAATATTATAGCTCATATGAGGCTGCCAAGCCAGTTCCCCAGCATTCACTGTGCCCCCAGCCAGCCTCTGAGAGGTAGTAGAGCTACATTATTGCTGTCCTTGGGAAAAGTGTTGCCTTATTTCCTCTTATGAGACAGTTGGGTTTGATGACTTGTCCAAAGTCATGTTCCAGATCAGCTGTGGAGTTGGGAGTAGAATTCAGAGGTCTGTAAATGTACTTCCTGCAAGCAGTAAGAACTTACCCAGTTAAACACTGCTAAAGAAATCAAATAACTTAAAAAGCAAGACCAAGGGGTGCTTGCCTGTGAGCTACATGGCATCAAGTATCACAGTGTACTTGACAGGAGCTTTTTTCTCCCCAGGGTGATCATGTGTGGCTGGACACTCAACCAAACAGTGAATTTAATGTCCCTATTGGAGCAGTTGTAAAGGAATCTGACTCAGGACGGATCTTGCTGGAGGATGATGAAGGCAAGGTGGGCTGTGCTATAACCTTCTGTAAAAGATAAAATGTAAAAATGCAAAGTACAAAAGGATATACTGAAAGAAAGACTATAGAAATAAGGCAAGTATAAGATGGTCATCCAGCATCTCCAGCTCCAAGCACTAGGAAGATTGAGAGCTTCGTAAGATAGAGGTTATATCTACATGGTTATGAAAGGAAATGGATGGGCTCCAGTCCCTAAATCTGGTGAAGTTTCAGGTGGAAACATCATCCCACTGAAATCAGTTCATCTCTACCTCATACAATGTTCTGCCTGTGATGAGAGAGTTGCACTCTGAACAGTGTTAAAATTGGTGTTGTTCAGAACCCACCAGAATGGCTTCATTCAGTGTTTTAAATCATCTCGTCCTGGGGAGCAGCAAACCAGTTAATTCCTGTAGGCCAGTCACTTGTGTGTTAGCATATGCTTGCTTGAGCATGTATTATGCTGAAGCTCACTCTAGTCTAACCCAGCTCTCCTTTGTCTGCCTCTGAGCCACAGCATCACACATTAAAGTCCATGCCTTTCCTTTGTCAGGAGCACTGGATCACGGCTCGGAACATGCACATGGTGAGCCTGATGCACCCGTCCTCTGTCCAGGGGGTAGAGGACATGATCCGCCTCGGGGATCTCCATGAAGCTGGCATGGTGCACAACCTCCTCATCCGACACCAGGAGCACAAAATCTATGTGAGTGCTGCAGTCGCTGCCAGGAACAGCCTCTACATTTAGCAAGTGATTTCTGCATCCTGTGAGCCTTTCACACATGGGGCCCTCTGACTTCTTTAATGACTGAGGGTGCGAGGAGACATGACAGAGTTTTTCTCTTCTTTCACTCGAGTACTTTGGCTGTGAAGAAGACAGCTACCAGCAACCCCTCAGTCACAGTGCTGGTACAGGTAGTGACTCCACTTACTTTCTTCCAGAGCAATCACTGCCACCAGCCACTGACAGTGAACTAAATCCAGCCCGTGTTACAGCTTAGTGCTGGTTTTACCTGAAGATCAGCCTAACTAGTATGTAGTGACATTTCAATTGTCCCACAGTCCAAGCCAACATTTACTTGATTTTGATGTAATAGGATGGCTAATGAATAAATTTGGATATTTTGTCCATTACAGGTTTTATCTGTAACTGGGAAATTTGACATTCTTATTTTATTTTTTCCTTAGTTTCCAATTTGTAATATTATAATTCATATTCAGGTTTTTCCATGCTTTGCCTCCCATATTATATACAGTACTGGAGAGAAGCTGCCTCTTACAACATAGGTATGATGATATTTAGTGTAAAAAAAAAGGACTGATTTTATAAATCCTACAGTTATAACTTCAGAGGTGTGTGTATAGACCTGTTATATTAAACTCTAGCAGCCTGCAGTTGTTTCATGTAGTTTTTGAATAATATTATTGCCTTGCATCTCCACAGCCTTCAACAGCCTCCTTCATTTCACTGGTGGTGGTGTATACAAATGTTTCTAAATCACTATATGAATAGCACAACCATAACTTGGTCCATTAACAAAGTTCAGCTACATCTGCACTAGAACACAGAAGTGGCTTAACAAAACACTGCAAAACACTTTATGATAACATCAAAGTGCCAAGTCAAATTGCACTCCCCATGTACTTCATCCTGAGACAGAGAACTGAGATGTCATTTGGCAAAGAGATTACACCAGCATTCTTCCTTGGGCAAAACCCTCCTTATCCTGGGATGTTTAACAGCAACTGATAGTGAAGAACTGGGCTTTCAGCCTCACCCAAGTGCTGCTATGATCTCCCAGGCTTCCCTCCTTCCTGTGTTTATATTTATCTTGCAAGTGGCTTTGGTTGTATTCTTGTTTGCAGGTATGCTGTAGCCATAATACTCACAACTGTTTTCCAGACTTACACAGGATCAATCCTTGTAGCAGTGAATCCATACCAGCTGCTGCCTCTCTACACAGTGGATCAGATCAGACTGTACTGTAACAAGAGGATTGGAGAGCTTCCACCTCATGTCTTTGCCATTGCAGACAACTGTTACTTCAATATGAAGAGGAATAAGAGAGACCAGTGCTGTGTGATCAGGTGAATGGACTCAGAGAGGACAAACAGCAGAAACCAAATCTGGCATGGTTTGGGGCACCTTGTGGACACAAGAGACCTTCCAAATGGAAGGGCACAGATAAAACTAGAGACAACAGGAAGGAAATATTTTTTCCCTGCTCCTTTATTTTCAGTTAGGGCTGCAAAAGGTAAAACATAAGCAAAGGATTTCTGAAGTCTGTTGTTTTCCCCCAGAATCTTTGGATGTGGTTGTATGTTCTGCACGTGGTCACTACATACAGAAACATAACACCTGAGCATGTGTGATATAGGGCTATCTTTACCTTGGAGACAGGATATTTATATTACATGTAGTTTCTGAGGCTAGACATTTCCTCTAGAGAAATAACCTCTGCTAACTCAAAGATGGATGGAAGCTTTCTTCGTCCTAGGAAGAATCCATTTTCTGTTTGTCATCAGTGTGAAGAATCAGATAGTGACATTGCAATAGTAGCTGATTATAGCTGAGTCAACTCGGTTGTTGTGCTAGCACTAGCATTAGCAATCTGGTAATGCTATAAAGAAGAAAAGGAAGTGGTCATTTAATCTGCACAGGTACAGAATATCTTCCATGGATTTGCTTGTTTTTAATTGGTGGGAGAATTTAGTTTTCAGCCTAAGTCTGAAAAACAACTTAAATTTGAGTAGACAAGATGATGAAAGACTCAAATTTTCCAGCCCTGTATGAAAGACAGTGCCATTTACAGGGTAAACTTAAGTGGGATTGCTTTTTTTTAACTTGGTCTGCCATGTTACCAAAAATAGAAAGGGAGCCTAATGATCTTTTTTTCTTACTGCAGTGGAGAATCTGGAGCTGGTAAAACGGAAAGTACAAAGCTTATACTACAGTTTTTGGCAGCTGTCAGTGGCCAGCATTCCTGGATAGAGCAGCAAGTTCTAGAGGCCAACCCCATTCTGGAAGGTGGGTTACTTAGCAAACATGGCTGATTTACCACACTTATCTCAGGATAAAAAAAATCAGAAACAGATCTTTGAACCATTGTATCTGCTTAACTAGTAACACCCCTGAAACACTGGTGGTGCACTGTAGATGTTCTCTATACTTTTCTACCATGTTCCCATGCAGTCCACAGCAGCTTTGCTCTCAGGCTGTAGGAGGAGGTGCCACTGTAATGTATACCCTGGAACTGCCAGGAGCACAAGAGTCCTTGGGACTGCAGAGCCCAAGGCAAAGCTCCCTGGTTTGGCATTTGCCCTAGACAGTGACAAAATGACTGGCCAAGCACAGATGTATCTGTAGGGGAGCTCCCTGAGCCACCCATCTTTCTCTATACTGGGATCAATGTGTTCCCAGTAAATCCTACTGGAGGTCTTCAGACTTGCCCAGATCTCTTGGCTGGCCAGATATGGACCACATTTGGATCATCTGAATATGTCTTTTAGGGCCCAGTTATCTGGGTGCACAGTTATCTGCCCCCCTCTTCAGGAGGAAGACTGAGACAAGACATTCTCCAGTGCTTCTCAGCACTGTCATTTGGAACACAATGTGTTAAACACTAGCAGCAAAGTAGAAGGGGAAAAAATAGGCTTGATGTTCATGAACTGCAATAATACAGATACTATCTCTGTCCCTTGCCCATCAGCTTTTGGAAATGCCAAGACAATTCGAAATGACAATTCAAGCCGCTTTGGGAAATACATTGATATTCACTTCAACAAAAGTGGTGTGATAGAAGGAGCCCGGATAGAACAGTTTCTCCTGGAGAAGTCCCGGGTTTGCCGGCAGGTGAGGGCACTGGCAGGTGTACATTCTGCCTGTTCTTGTGTTAGAAGCTTATCCTGACAAGGCTGTCAATTGGCCTATTTCTTTTCTTTTTAGGCTCCCGAGGAGAGGAACTATCACATCTTCTATTGCATGCTAATGGGGATGAATACAGAGCAGAAAAAGATGCTGAATCTGGGCACTGCTTCAGAGTACACTTATCTCACTATGGTAATAGTCTCTGCTTTATTCTCCATTATCCCTCTGCCATTCTCTTCTTCCAGTGAGCAATTACAATCACTAGGAGCTGCAGATGGTAGTTACCAACATGAACAGTCCTTCCCTTAGAGTACCAGAAGCGATAACACCAAAAGTGCTGTAAGCATCGGTTTCAGACACCTACTGTATTGTCCACCAGTGGGAAGCAGCTTGTGGCAGGTCAAAACTTTCTGTCAAAGTCAGACTTAACAAACATAAAAGACCTCGTAAAACAGAATGTGGACAACATCTCTCATTTTCCCAGACACTCAGATTTCAAAGGAATGTAAGAGATCTTCTGCCAGGGAGAACAGTAATCACATATGTGTAACTTAGAGGAAAATTCATGAGAATCCTAGTCCTTATATCTAATAAATAAATCTTATATATATAATGCAGGCAGCTGGCATTCAGTGTAACCTCCCACAATTGACATTAATGACCACGGGTTATGATGCCATTGTGACAGAAGTGGGATCTTCATAGATGGGGTTTTTGAAAATAGCTAATTGAGTGGTTTAGGACATGAAAGCCATGATGAAAAAAAAAAATTCTAGTGAAATTAGCTGGAGCTGGGCATCTAATTTCTTGGAAATGAAAACAAGCCTGTTTCTGGAGTCTCAAAAGCAAAACCATTAAAGTTGTGGAGATTTTTTCAAATGTAATGTTTTTGAAATAGCAGCGATCTTGCAGCAAGGCTGATGAGTACATTAGTGCAATTAACCCGTTGGCCATTCCATAAAAAGGTCCCTGGGTCAGCAGTAGGTCAATGGGATACTGAAATAGAAGAATTGGATTACAGGAGAATATATCCATGGTTTTGTAAAGGTCAACTGTTGGCACACACTAGCATGTTTACATGCTGTAAACTGAAATGTCTAGGAATATTTAATTTTTGTAATCATCACATTATCTTGTCAGAAATAGCAAGGGTGAAAAAGGCATTTTCCCATCTTAATTATGGCTGAAAAGAGTTTCTGTCAGGAACAGCATCCTAGGAAATACTGTGCAGACTTTGATGAAAGTTCTTCTGATGCTGCCTTGGATGCTTCCATTTGCCTTCCACTAGGACCTAATATTTTTATTTTGAGATCTGCCTTCTACTACTTATCCAACCCGACCCACTTTGGTTTGGAATGAGGGCTCTTAATTTTCTATTGACAAGGCAGAGAGAGGAAACCAAAGAAACAGGCATGGCTTTGTAAATGCAGGTAATCTTGTCAAAGCTTCCTGTCCTTCTATGCTTCTATGATGGGAAGAGCAGCCTTCCCATCAGCTTTTCCTTTTGGCTTCCCCAGCATTCAGTCTAGCCCTGGAGAAATGCATTATTGAGCCCTATGTTAATGCATTCTTTTTGAGAGAAAAGATGAAGGAAGATACAATCACGGGAAGAGGATATAGAATGTCTCAATAGGGTTTTACCTTGCATCCTTGTGGACTCACAGGACAGCCACTCTGTGTACAAAGGTTTGTCAGTCTGCACATGCTTTCTTCCTTGTCTGGGTAGCAGGAGGGTTTTCCTTACCTGTTGGTGTGGTGCTTGCAGGGTAACTGCACGTCCTGTGACAGCCGCAATGACGCCAAGGATTATGCCCACATCCGCTCGGCTATGAAGATCCTCATGTTCTCAGACTCTGAGCACTGGGACATCAGCAAGCTGCTGGCTGCCATCCTGCACCTAGGGAATGTAGAGTTCCAAGGTAAATTCAGCATTGCCTGTGCCTTCCTTTCTTCAGACTTGATGGTAAAGGTACTTCCTTTGGGTGCTTCCTGATTAGATTATGCTGCTCTGACCTGTATTAACAGGTGAATAGAGTTGCAAGGGCAGGCAGATAAGCACTATGAAATTCTGATTTGTGACTCCACTGCCCTGTGTTTTTGAAAAACAGCATCTTATTATTATTTTGTCACACTGTCAGGTCTCCATGGTTGTAAATAGGCCCTTATCACACAAAATGAGTATTAATGCCATGTTACATTTACTGATTGCTGTTCTACACAGGCCAGAGGACACAGGTGTGATGTTTGCATTGGAGATATAGCAGTCATTCTCCTGCTTAAGTCTGCTGAACACTCACCTGCATAGGTGCACTTCTGGTATGGACAGGCACAGTGTGACAGTGAGACCCACCAGCACATGCCAGAAGCTTTCATATTTTAGAAAAGAACTTACTTTGTGATACAGCTGGCCCGATACAGAGATGCCAGGTGGATTTTTTGGATTAATGCTGACTACTAAAATTAGGGATTTCTTTTATTCCTCTTTGTTGTCTAAATTTCCCACAAGCCAGATACACAGGAAAAATATTTCCAGAAAAACATTTTCTGGAGTCAGATATTACTTCCATAGATCCCCAGTAGTTACTATTTTAAATGAATAACCTTGTCAGTTTGGCTGCTGTTTTTAGCCTGATATTCTAGACATGAGAGAGCCCTGTAGATCCCAGGATCCAGCTGAAATCAGGACCCTCCTGGGTAAAATCACCAAACCTGTCAGTTTCAAATGAGAACTGAGTACCTTGCCACATCCCCAGCACTCTGGGGTCACAGAAATGCAGCTACATTAACAACCGTGATGGTTCCCCCTGAGACTGGCTGTTTCTTCCTTGCAGCGGCCGTGTATGACAACCTGGACTGCTCTGATGTGATAGACTCACCACACTTCTCCATTGCCACCAAATTGCTCGAGGTAATGGACTCTCATCTTCTCCTGCTGGTTCTTCCTTCTCCCTTGTTCTGTGAGCACACTGGCAGAGCATGTCTCTGGAGTTTATGTAAGAATGAACATTAACAGGCATGTCGCCTCTGTCCTGCTGACACTCCAGTCATGCTTTGCTGGGAGACCTTTAAATGGGACAGCAAGTTGCCAGTGGATGCTTCTGGACAAGCAGTTTGTCATAGCAAACTCCTCCTGACACAAACTTTGCTAGATCTCCTTTATTCACCTGGAATGACCAGGTTGCCATGACTGTTTCTCCAGGTGGACTACAGTGAACTCCAGAACAGCCTCACAAACCTCTCCATCATTGTCCGAGGAGAAAGTGTGTCCAGGCCTCTCAATGTGGTTCAAGCTGCCAATGGGAGGGATGCCTTTGTGAAGGTACTGGTGCTCACAGCTTCCCTGTTTAAAGACTGGGGATGCTTTCAGAGCTGTCTTTCTTCCTGGCTGAGGATCCCTATGTGATAAACATTGACCCAGAGGGCTCCAGGCCCTTGCAGTTCTCAGGCATAGCTTGACAGCACAATAGCAAGCAGTAAGTTACATCCAAAGTCTTCAATGATTCTAATTCTTTCTTTTTTTTTTTTTCCCTCAGGGTATATATGGACGGATTTTCTTATGGATCGTGAACAAAATCAACTCAGCCATTTTCAACCCAGCTTCTCAGAAGCCTAAAGACAGACATCAATCCATTGGACTGCTGGACATTTTTGGGTTTGAAAACTTCAGCAACAACAGGTAGGAAACTCCAGATGCATTGCAATAGGAAGCTGAATGGAAGCTGATGTAAAGGGAAACAATGAAATAAACAAAGAGACACATGCTCTTTCATATCATCCTGATTCTCAGAAAAATAGTGAAAATGCCATTACTGGATTTTTCCAATTATGATCATGCAGATTCCATTTTTCTTCAGTCTTGATCATATTTCTGCCTCCTTCCCCAGCCTTCATTTCTGTGCAGCCATTGCATGTCTATTCCAGAACCTGAGGAATTTTCTATGGAGAGGTGGTTATGGAGCTCCTATGGCAGGCAGCCACTATGTGAGGATGTAATATATCCCTGTGTCTCTGTACCAAACTTTCCTGTTCCATAGCATTTTATGGTATCTTTTGGGATACATTTGGCATGTAGTACAAAGGAGACTGTATTGTGTTTCCCATTTCAGCTCATGCGTACATCCTTCTCAGTGTTCTCCCATCTTTTTTATTTATTTTTTTTTAATTTTTTGGTGTGTTTTTTTTGTTTGTTTGTTTTTTTGTTGGTGATGGTTTGGGGTTTTGTTTGTTTTTCGTTTGCTTGGGGGGTTGTTTGTTTGTTTGTTGACTGCTTCATTTCTCTACTTCTAAGGGCAGGTCAGCAAAGTCCCTGGTCAGCACGCCATTGTGTCACTGCATGTCACTGCTGTCTCTTCCACTGGCGTTTCCATTGCCAAAGCAGCATTTCTGCTTGCCCTTCTCTCTGGGGGGAGCAGCAGCTTTCTCAGTTGTCAGGTACCATCAGCTCTCCACAAACCATCAGCACATACTCTGCAATCTTTTGCAATTTATTTCAACTGATGCCTCTTCCCTTCAGCCAGATAATATTCCTCAGTGACTTTTGGAACAGAATCTAGGATCTCTACAGTCTGTCTTCTGTCTTTTGTGTTCTCTCCTGTTATTTTGTGCTGTTTCCAAGATCTGCAGAAAATGCCTCCCTTGTATTGCTAAGATTGGCAACATGCAATGATGGTGGTCCCCAGCACTCTGGAATATGGCAGTGGTGTATCTGCATTTAATGCAGAAGTTAAATAAATAGCAGAGAGCAGGGCAGCACTGGCCAAGAATGACCACGGGCTTTCATCTTGTTCTTCCCCAGCTTTGAACAGCTCTGCATTAACATTGCAAATGAGCACCTTCAGCAGTTCTTTGTGCACCATGTGTTCAAGCTGGAGCAAGAGGAATACATTGCAGAGCACATTGTCTGGAACAACATTGACTTCACTGATAACCACCAGGCTCTGGAAGTCATTGCACTCAAGCCCATGAATATAATCTCCCTCATTGATGAAGAGAGCAGGTTTCCAAAGGTAAATTTCTGGTTTCATTTGTAATGCCTGGCTTTGCACAGAGCATCCCTTACAGCTTCTTGGGTAGAAGGGCATGAGGAGGTTGGTGGGGGCATTTTGCTTGTGAGGTCCAAAATTGTCAGCCCACCTGGTGATGCTAGTGGTGTTCTGGGGTTTGTGTATAGCCCTAGAACACCAGGCCCTGTGGTTGATGGTGTGTTCTGTCATGGTGCTTGACACAGAGGTCTGTGTAAAAGGGAAGATACTTTTGGCAAGATCTTTCTCCAGATCTACTACACACATAAGGGCAGAATTTGAGCTTTTGTTATCTCTAAGCACCACTTTGGTTTGTTTGCTGAGCACAGGCCAGTGATGGGGACAATCTGCTTAACCATCATTTTTTACCTATATCTGTTTCTAGGGCACAGATGCCACCATGCTTGTCAAAATCAATTCCCTCCATGGTAAAAGTAAAGTCTACATCCCACCTAAGAGTGTTCATGATACCAAGTTTGGCATCAATCACTTCGCTGGGGTTGTCTTTTACGAATCAAAAGGTGAGCCTATCTCTGCTGGATACAGAGGGTGAAGGGAAGGGCACGACCTGCCCTGGATATGTGGCTTTCCAGGACAGTGTTGATCTGAAGTTGATGAGGAGGTCAGAAGGATTACTATAAACCAATCTGCAAGTTACTGTAAATTAAGTGGATTTTAGGTAGACAGAGTGGCGCTAGAGCCAGCAGGCTGCAGAGGTGACAGGCTAATTTTGTTTCCATCCTACAGATTTCCTGGAGAAAAATCGTGACACACTGAGTGCTAATGTAATGCAAGTGGTCCATTCCTCCAAAAACAAATTCCTGAGAGAGATTTTCCAGGTGGAAACAACCCCACCTAGTTTGGGACGTGGGACCATTCGGCATCTTGGATCTGACCACGTCTACAAGGTTGGCTTACTGGCACTGTCTTGCAGAAACCACTAATTTGTCCTGCCTTCCATAAACCTCTGCCTGTCTTGATCTCCTCTTTCTTTTGCACTGTCTCTGCAAATCCCTATCTCTTTCATTCAAATTGTTTCTGCCAAGGGAGCTGCAGGAAAAGTCAGGGCCTGGTGTTCATGCTGTAAACAAGTGCAATGTCAGCCCTGCCTCCCAGGTCTGCACCCTGGACATCTGTGTAGCCATGCCTGCAGGTTGCCTCAGAACCACGAGTCGTGATGCCTCCCCACATGTTACCATCGACTGGACATCACTGAGTGACAAAGTTCATGATGGGTCATTATCACAGACTCCACTGTGCCTGTTGTGTCTGTGCCTAGTAAAAATAAGGGTGTGAAGTGCAGTGGACTAAAAATCAGTGTGAAGCACAGTTCAGGTTCTCTGTCCTGCTCCAGCTTCCACATACCTTGATTTCTGAACATTTAGCTATGTCGTGTCACCAGTATGTGAAGGTACTTTTTGCTTGTTTACATCTTTGACTTTTCCTGTCAGGATACAGAACAATCAGCTTGCTATCTTACCTGTTATCTGTCTATTCTCCTGGCATTGTTTTCTGATCTTGTCCTTTCTTCCTCTGTCTTTGTCCCAGTGTGGCTTTCTGCTGTCCAGAACACCTGGCCATGGACAGGTAAACATCCTGGGGGCAAAGAATGTCAGAAGTGGTAATAGCAGCAACAGATAACTGGCTTAGCATCTCTTAAATGCTATTAATACCTCCAGATTAAATATCAGCTGTATTTACATTGCTCTAATGCCCTAATGGGTCTTGTCCCTATAAATAAGGCTGTGTTATTGAAAAAAAAAGGTACAGCAGCATGTCAAGAAAGGAAATA